GCATTTGGAGGGTGGGGCTGGACCAGGGCTGGGCTGCCCCTCCCATCTGGCTGTGACCCTTGGCAAGTCTCCCCACCCCCCATGCCCCCAGGCCTGAGCAAGGCTGAGCTGCCACCTGTACTGAAGCTTATCTCTGACCTTTGGCATTCCTGTGTCTGGACAGTTTGCAAGAGCGGCCTCTGCCCAGGCTTACGGGATCGCGCCTCCTCTGTAGGCAGATAAGCCCTCACTGTCAGGAAACTGGAGGGCTGTGAAAGGATGAGGAGGGGGCTTCCCTGATGGTACACTGGTTAAGAATCTGCCTGCCTGGCAGGGGACACGGGTTCGATCCCTGGTCTGTAAAAAGTCCACATGCCTTGGGGCAGCTGAGCCTGTGCGCACAGCTACTGAAGCCCGGTGCGCTAAGAACCCGTGCGCTGCAGCAGGAAATCCTGGTCTGTGAGAAGCCCGTGTGTTGTGACTCGAGAACAGCCCCCGCTCTGCAACTCGAGAGAGCCCACATGGCACTGAAGACCCAGTGTAGCCGGAAATTAATTAATTAATTAAAAATAAATTTAAAATGCTAAAATGACAGACAAGGGACTGCAGTGGCCATTTGCTCTGGTCTCGCTGACTCCTTGTGAACCCGCTGTGAGTTTTCTTTTCATTATCCGCATTATGAGAAAACTCCAGTTCGGTGAGATGGCATCTACCCTGCCCTATAAACATGATGCTTCTCAAAGTGTGCTCCGTGAGCCTCCTACTTCAAAATCCCCTGGGAGCTCAAAAACTTGCGCGTTCTCAGGCCCCATCATGGGCCAGCATCTTCAGAGTCTTCAGGGTCAGCTCGTGGATCTAGAGTTTAGGTCTTCCAGGTAGTTTTACTGCAGTTTGTAGACCAGGAGTCCAGGGAAGAGACCTCCTGAGTTGGCCTTCCATCACACTTCTGGTGTTTTTTTGTTTTTTTTTTTTTAGTTGGAGTATAGTTGCTTTACAGTGTTGTTAGTTTCTCCTGTACAACAAAGTCCATCAGCTGTATGTATACACATACGCTTCCCTCTTGGACCTCCCGCGCACCTCCAGTCCCACCCCTCAAAGTTATTACTGAGCCCCGAGCTGGGCTCCTTGCGCTATATGCCAGCTCCCCACTAGCTATCAGTTTTATACACAGCAGTGGATACACGTCAGTCCCAGTCTCCCAAGTCATCCCACCACCCTCAGTTCAGGCATTTCAGCTCAGTTGTGTCCAACTCTTTGCCACCTCATGGACTGCAGCATGCCAGACTTCTCTGTCCATCACCAACTCCCGGAGCGTGCTCAAAGTCATGTCGGTGATGCCATCCAACCATCTCACCCTCTGTCCTCCCCTTGTCTTCTGCCTTCTGTCTTTCCCAGCATCAGGGTCTTTTCCTTTTTTTTTTTAATCCCCCCCCCCCCCCAAGGGTCTTTTCCAATGAGTCAGTTGTTTGCATTAGGTGGCCAGAGTATTGGAGTTTCAACTTCAGCACTTCCAGGGAATATTCAAAACTGATTTCCTTTAGGATTGACTGTTTTGATCTTGCAGTCCGAGGAACTCTCAAGAGTCGTCTCAAACACCACAGTTCAAAAGCATGAATTCTTCAGCACTCAGCTTTCTTTATAGTCCAACTCTCACATTCATACATGACTGCTGGAAAAACCATAGCCTTGACTAGATGGACCTTTGTTGGCACAGTAATGTCTCTGCTTTTTAATATGTTGTCTAGGTTGGTCATAGCTTTTCTTCCAAGGAGCAAGCATCTTTTAATTTCATGGCTTGCGGTCACCATCTGCAGTGATTTTGGAATCCAAGAAAATAGACTGTCACTGTTTCCATTGTTTCCCCATCTATCCCACCACCTTACCCCCTGTCAACACACTTGTTTGCCTCTCTATTCCAGCCCTGCAAATAGGTACATCTGTACCATTTTTTCTAGACTCCACATATATATGTTAGTATGTTTTATTTTTCTCTTTTCTTCACTCTGTATGACAGACTCTTGCTGTGGGGCTTTGTGTAAATTGCTTACTGATCCTGAGCTTCAATTTCCTCATTTGTAACCTGGGGATGGCAGCAGTTTCTATCTCACAGGACCATCTTGGGTACCCAGGGACTTAATAAGTACACCACGTTGACCCAGCACTTTCCTGGCAGCATCTGTGGTGGCCAGGCAGAGGGGTCTCTTGATTGGGGGAGGGAGGGGGATGGTTCTTCCCAGAGCAGAATGCAAAATGACCAGGCTGTTTGTTCCAAAAGGCTGACCAGCTCATCAGCTCAAAGTACAAGCAACATAATTGGGCCTCAATTATGTGTTGGGTTTTACGGTTGGGAAAAGTAGGGGGTTAGTGCTGGAAACTTTCCTTGGGCCTGCCAGCGTATCCTTCGTGTGTGTGTGTGTGTGTGTGTGTGTGTGTGTGTGTGCGCGCGCGCACACTGCACCAAGCCGCATGTGGAATCTTAGTTCCCTGACCAGGGATCGAACCTGCACCCCCTGCATTGGGAACTCGAAGTCTTAACCACTGGACTACCAGAGAAGTCCCCCTTCCAATGTGTAGAGTGCTAAGAGGAAGTGGTGAGGAGTTGGGAATTTGAGGCAAAAGACTTGGAATCCAGTGTGATTCCAGTCTGAACGTAAGAGTTCAGAGAGGCCTTCACTTCTCCAGACCACAGCTGCCCTGCGTGGTTCCTGCAGTAGAGTTCAGGCTCTGGACGGTGGGCAGGACTTTGCCCTGTGAGTTGCCAGCGCAGCCCGTGTTTCCGCTCTGGTTCTAGACTGACAGGCCTCCTAGCTGCAGATTCCCTCGTAGACTCCCACACTGGCACCTTGTAATACTGCCTTACCGCATCAGGAGACCTTGTGACGAACAACAGCCTTGGGAACTCCATCATTCCTATTCGCTAGAGGGATTTCCCATTTTACGTGCTGGGGAGTCCTGCTGAAGGGCTTCCTTCAGCATGAACAGCCAGGTAAAAAGCCTGGCTCCCCCCAAAAAGGCTGGTATGTGTTCTTCCTCTTGAACAGTGAGGACAAGGTAAACTGATTTTCCTTTTCTCTTTGGCCACTGGGAGGCTCAACACTAAATGCACAGCCCATGTCTGGTAGCTGCCTGAGGACCTTATGACCTGTTGATGTGAACCCATCCTTCCTTTCTGGTTTAGATGCTTTCTTCAGATTTTTTCCCCCTCCGCTCCTGATTTTTAGCATTTATATTTCACTACCTTCTTTTCTTCGTGTTTCCTTGCCCTTTGTGGAGCCAGGCTGGGGGTATGTAAAAATGCTCACCCTGTAAACACACATGAAACTGTCTTCACAACTGCTTTGTTGGCATGGTGCATTTTTTTTTTTTTTGCTTCCTCAGCTTCATGAAACTGTTAGCGTGATTGCAGTCCACTGGTCAGTTACGAGATGCTTGGGGCTGGGCACGGTGGCTGCTTTTTGCTTGTTTTTCTCTTCTTATCAGCTGCCTAGAATTTTTAAAATAATTTCCCTCCCAATCCATTAGTCACTGAGAGCACAGGCAGTACCCTGGTGGATAGATGTGTGTGTATATCTTTTTCTTCCTTTCCTTCTAATTTATTTCTTTAGCATTGCACAAGTGTAACCTGTAGAATCAAAAAAATGGTAACAAGTGCAAAGGGAAAAAAATTACCAAGAATTCTACCAGGATACCATTTTTCAGTATTTTGTGATTCATCCTTCTTGACTTTTTCTCTGTTTATGTTTTTCCACAAAAAATTCGAATCTAACTATGCATAGTGTTTTTTCATTTTCATTTAATGGTAGATAACTAGTATCTTTCCTTGTTATTACATATGCTACAACAATGAAAGATACTTGAAATTTATATGATACATACATGCACGTAGGTTTTTTTTTTTTTTTTTTTTTTAAAGCATAGAAAGACTTATTGTGAAAAGCAGTAATTGCTTCAGTCTCCCCAGCCGCAGGCCTGGGTAAAAGGGGCAATTTTAATCATTTAGACTTCTTGTTACAGAGTGGTTCCCTCCACTTAAATAAAATGTTTACTCCACGATTTCTTGGTTTATTGGATTTACTGACTTGCCCCTAAGAAAAGTAAAGGTTTCCATCACTTCCATCACCCTTCCCCACTTCCTCCAAACGTTGTCTGCCTCTATATTTGGTTACCTTTGCAATTTAAAATTTAAGTAATATACTTAAGCCTTAAGTTCTTGTTCTACAAACCATAGTCTCTTGTGGCCCTTATTCTCAGAGGCCCTTCCTCTCAGAGGAAGATACGGAGACTGCCTTTTCCTTGATTTCCTTTCACCCCCCAGCATCATAGTGCTTGTCTGATGTAGATTCAAGTTTCTGAGGTTAAGGTTATTAGCATTTACATTCTGTTTAATAACCATAAATCGCCCATGAGTGACACGAAGCAGTGCTGAGAACTGAAGGCTGGCGCCTCATGTTAGCATTCCTCTGTGAATCGTGTTCACTGCTGCCCACGGGAGTGGGCTGTGCTTACAAGTCCTTTTCTTTACGTCTAATGCCACTCAAAGGAGAATGTTAAAGAGACTTTGGTTTCTTACATTCTGTTAGATGCTCAAAATCCATCACTTTCTATTTCAGTTCACTTAATATTTTGACCACGCCTTTCTTAGATAACTTTGCTTGTTTGTCTGGAGTTGCTAATACAGCATGATTTCACCAGCTGCATAGTATTCTGACATAGAAAGTGTTGAGATTTATTTTCACCCAGCCCCCTGTGGTTGGATTTAAGGTGATTTCAGTCTTTCATTAACATGAATGGTGCTGTAACTAATGTTCTTTGACATTCATCATTGTGCATTTGTTTTCATACATAATGTTTGAGAATCCGGGAGTGCTGCTCCTCTTAAATCTGACTGCCAGTCCTCAGCCCCATGCACCCACTGCCTTGCTGATCTACCTTCAACTGCATCAGTCTGTTCTAGAGGCTGGTGTAAGAGTGTTTTCCTGGAAGGAGTGGCCCCCAGGTAATGTCCATCATCCTCTCTCCAGGCTCTGAAAAGCGGCCATTCCTCAAATTTGAAGCTGAAAACATCTTCAACTACACAGCCCTCCTGCTGAGCAAGGATGGCAGGACTGTGTACGTGGGTGCTCGAGAGGCCCTCTTGGCACTCAACAGCAGCGTCAGCTTCCTGCCAGGCGGGGAGTACCAGGAGGTCAGATGATGCTCAGGGGTAGGCTGGGTGGAGGGTGCCGGTGGGTGGGTGGGGGGTGGAACTTCTGGGTCCCAGGATAATGCAAATGGGGGAGGGGCAAAGAATCGAGAGGTGGAGCCTCTGTTCCCAGGTGCACACTGACCCTTCCCTTTCTGGTTCCCCAGCTGCTGTGGCCTGCCGATGCAGAGAGAAAGCAGCAGTGCAGCTTCAAGGGCAAGGACCCAGAGGTGAGCCAGCACCTGGAGGTGACCTGGGCTGGAGGTGGTAGGTCTGGGTCCAGGATGGAGGCCGGAGGCCGGAGGCGGGAGCAGATGCTGCCAGCTGTGGTGGAAAGGACATGGGCTTCTGAGATGGCCAGACCTGGGTTTGTGTCTCGACTCCGTACTTACTATTTCTGTGACTTTGGACAAATGGATTTGCCTCTCCGAGCCTTAGTAAAGTGGGGGTAAGGATGCCTGTCTCGCTGGACTCACCACGAGGATTCAGTGAGCTAATACATATAACGAGGGCCAAACAGACGTCAGCTTCCAGCAGGAGCAGTGATTGGGTGGGGTGGGAGTCTGTCCCTTTGAGGATAGTGTTTGATGTGGCAGGCCTGACATATCTCAGCTTGGTTTTGGCCAGACCAATGAGTGGGGACCAGTCAGCCCAGGGTTCTTTGGGAAGACTCCCCACCATTCCCAGAGGCCTCCTGGTCCTGACTGCAGCAGGGGGCAGCTAAGGTGAAGGCAAGAGACACCAGTCTTGTGACCAAGACACAAGTTCAGGGAATTTCATGGGGTCCAGTGGTTAGGACTCCGAATCCCTGGTCGGGTAACTAAAATCCCATAAGCCAAGTGGCATGACCCCCCGCCCCCCAAATTGTTTTTTAAAACACAGGTTCAAGTCCTGGCTGCTTTTGATTTCTTTTATTCAACAGAAATGTGTTAAGTACTCACTCTGTGCCTGGGTGCTTTGAGACACTGGTTATTATCGTTGTTCTTGAATCACAAAGTTGTGTCCGACTCTTTGTGACCCTATGAACTGCTGCACGCCAGGTTTCTCTGTCCATCACTATCTCCCTGAGTTTCCTCAAATTCATGTCCATTGAAACAGTGATAACGTCCAACTATCTCATCCTCTGTCGACCCTTTCTCCTCTTGTCCTCAGTCTTTCCTAGCATCAGGGTCTTTTCCAGTGAATTGGCTGTTCGCATCAGTTAACCAAAGTATTGGAGCTTCAGCATCAGTCCTTTCAATGAATATTCAGGGTTGATTTCCTTTAGGATTGACTGGTTTGATCTCCTGATTATTCTATCATTGTGAAAAGGAAGAAATCAGTCTTGTTTTAAGGGTAGTCAGGTTACACTTCCTTTAGAAAGAGACATTTAAGCCGAGATTAGAAGGAGGGGTGAGGGGTTTGACGTAAAGAACAGGACTGTGAATGTCACTCTGAGTGAGGTATTTGGGGAACCGCTGACAGGCTGAGCAGCGCAGTGACGTGGTCTAGTGTGGGTTTTCAGAAAGTCGCTCTTACCACCATGGTGGGGAGCAGGCTCCTGGGGGCAAGGATAGAGGGAGACCAGTGAGGGGCGAGAGGGGATGGTAGCCCGGACCAGGGTTGGACCAACAAAGGGAGCAAGAAGTCTCGGTCAGACCCCGGACGTATCTTGAAGATGGAGCCACCAGGATTCCCTGATGGAAGAACCAGGGTGGGGTTGGTATAAGAGGGGAGTCAAGGATGCTGTGAGGTTTGGGGCCTGAGAAGATGGAGTTGACATCTATGAAAGTGGGGAGACCCTGGAGGAGGCAGTTTTGGGGGAACAGTCAGAAGCTCAGGAGATGCCTGTTAGGACACCCTCTCAGAGGCAATCCGCGAGTCTGGAGTCCAGGGTTCAGGGCTATGTGTTCCTCCTGTCCTGGGCTCAACTTCCTCACCAGGTGGGATTAAGACAGCTCAAAAGGGAGATGTTCTGTGCCTTCACCCCAGCCTGAAGTGAAGTTTCACAGTCACAGAGCTAACTCAGCCCCAGGGTCCCCTCCTACACATGCACACGCGCGCGCACACACACGCACACAAACACACACATGCACACACATGCACACACACGCTCTGTGATCCTCTGCTCCAGGAGGTGCTGTGCCTTGGGTCTGGTGGGGGGTGCTCAGAGGCGCCCCCTGGTGCCTGTCTGTGCCTGACAGTCTCCTCCTCCCTCTAGCGGGACTGTCAAAACTACATCAAGATCCTCCTGCCTCTCAACAGCAGCCACCTGATCGCCTGCGGCACAGAGGCCTTCAGCCCCGCGTGCACCTACATTGTGAGTACCCCACTGCACCCCGGGCCGGCCCCTGGCTGGCCCAGGAAGTAGCTGTCTTTCTGCCCCCAGGGAACTGGTCTGCAGCGCTGACCGCTGGTGAAGGGCAGGGCCCTGGTGGGAGGCTTCTGGGAGGCCAAGGGCCCTGAGAGCCCCGGGACTCTGCCCCAGCCCTGATGAGTGGGTCTCCCTGCAGGGGGCGGGGAGAGGAGGACAGACTCATAGGATTCCCTGGGCACACAGATCCTGGCTGACCCACGATCACACCCTCTCACTTCCTCCAACTCTCACTTCCTCCAGCTCTCGCTCAATCCCCACTAGCCCACCTCATCCACCCTCCTCATCACACGCACACCCTTGCATTTCTGCCCTTTGCATGACTTAGCGGAGAGTGGCATTTTCAGGGCGTGGGTCAGAGCAGCCAGGTTCCGAGTCAGACGTTCCTGGGTTTGAACTACATCATTGCCCTTTCCTGGCTCATGTCGCCTTTCTGAGCCTCTTCTCTGCCCTGTGGGACAGCCACCATGAGGGGTCACAGTGAGGCGCTGTGGGGACTATGCCCCGGGGCCAGGATGGGGAAGAGGCCCTCTGGCCACTGCCCTCACTCTAAACACCTCCCTGCTCTTCGGCCAAGCTCACTCACTCTCTGGTGTGGCCCTGACCTCCCCGTCTGCTCCTCTGCAGGACGTGGAGAACTTCACACTCGCACAGGACAAGCAGGGGAACATCCTCCTGGAAGATGGCAAGGGCCGTTGTCCTTTTGACCCCAATTTCAAGTCCACGGCCCTGGTGGTCGGTGAGTGGGGGGCAGGGCATCAGAGGGGCCCGGATGGTTGGTGCCATGCTGGTTCCCAGGGGTGCGGCAACCCCGGGCGGCTTTCAGTTCGGCTCTTCTTAGCTCTTATTCCCTCCTCTGTCCTCTTCAAGCAAGAAGGGCCACGCTCAGGTCACTGTGGGCCCTGAGCGGGAAGGGGCTGTGCCCAGGGCCCATTCCCATGGGAAATGTTCTCTTGGCAGATGGTGAGCTGTACACGGCAACAGCCAGCAGCTTCCTGGGGAATGACCCGACCATCTCCAGGAGCCAAAGCCTCCGCCCCATCAAGAGCGAGAGCTCCCTCAACTGGCTTCGAGGTGAAATCCTCCCACCGCCCACCCAGGGGGCAGTCCCCAGACCCCAGGGAGGGGGTCCTGTACCCCCAGCAGGGCCAGAGAGCAGAGTCTTCGCCTGTCTGGGATCTCTGGGCTGATGGTGCTTCCCACTGGCTCCCCCCCACAGACCCAGCGTTTATGGCCTCAGCCCACATTCCTGAGAGCCTGGGCAGCTCGGAAGGGGACGATGACAAGATCTACTTCTTCTTCAGCGAGACTGGCCAGGAGTTGGAATTCTTTGAGAATACCGTGGTGTCCCGCATTGCCCGTATCTGCAAGGTGAGGGGGCTGGGCCACCCCAGAGGCTCCATATCTGCAGCCTTCTCCTGTCCTCCAGAAGGAACAGCTTGGCTACTGGCATTTCTCTTTTTTTCTTGAAATTTTGGCTGAGCTACATCTTCATTGCTTCCAGGCTCTTCTCTAGTTGCCGTGAGCGGGAGCTTTTTCTCTAGTTGTGGTGCACAGGCTTCTCGTTGCGGAGCCCAGGCTGTACTTGGAGCTGAGTAGTTGTGGTGCACAGGCTTAGTTGCCCTGAGACTTGTGGGATCTTCCTGGACCAGGGATCGAATCCGTGTCCCCTACATTGGCTGGTGGATTCATAACCACTGGGCCACCAGAGAAGTCTTCTCTTAAGTTAAAATGTCTGTTTTTTTCCTTATTTAAAAAAAATGTGAAGACATAGCAAAGTACACACAAAAATCACAAAATAAAGAGGCAACTTGGTATGGTGATTAAGAGTGTCGATGCTGGAGCCCCGCTGCCTGGGTTCAAACCCTGCAGGTCGTATGATCTTGGACAATTTCCTTGCTGAGAAATCTGTTTCAGTTCCCTCCTCTGTTCAGCATGTAGGGTGCTTAGAAATGTGCTGAGCAGCCACTAGATGGTGACTGTCGGTGTTAAAATCTCTTCATCCTTCCACAAGACGTGACCACTGTTGACAATTTAGAATGTTCCTTGCTAATCTTTATTCTTTTGCACATGTGTAGAGATGTACATATTCGTATTATGTAAAACCATATGCAAACAAAGAGATACTGTAATGCAACTCTTTAGCCTCCCTTTCTGCTCAGCAGTAAATCGTGAGATCTTTTCATGTTTGTAGACAGACTTCCCTTCGTCCTTTTTTCTGGCTCCTTGCAATTAGGGAAGCACCGTCATTTACCTAGCCAGTCTTCTGGCAAAGGGGAACTGAAGGCTGCCACTTGAAGTCTTTTTTTTTTTTTTTTTAATTTATTGTTTATGTGAAATTTAGATTTAGCCAGAGGCGCTCTTTCTCTCTACGTATATATACACACACACATGTATTGGCCATGGGATGCAAAATGTGGGATCTTAGTTCCCTGATCAGGGATTGAACCGGTGTCCCCTGCACTGGAAGTATCATAGCATCTTAACCACTGGACCACCAGGGAAGTGCCCTGTCTTCTTTATTTGCGATGAGCTCAGGCCTGGTGTTGTGTCTGTCAGGCCCTTCCTGGTGTCTGTCTCAGCCACTGCTGGGGAGGGGAAGTGAGGAGCCACCCCTGAGCCCAGCCTCTCTCTCCCTCATGCAGGGCGACGAGGGGGGCGGGCGCGTCCTGCAGCAGCGCTGGACGTCCTTCCTGAAGGCACAGCTGGTGTGCCTGCGGCCTGACGACGGCTTCCCGTTCAACGTGCTACAGGACGTGTTCACGCTGACGCCCCGCCCCGAGGACTGGCCGGACACCCTCTTCTACGGGGTCTTCACACCCCAGTGGTGCGCCCCCCCCCGGGACCTAGCTGGGAGCGGGCCGGGTGAGGGGCGAGTGGCTGGCCTCACTGGGAACCCCAAGGCTCCTGGGGCTCATTTAGCCAACTTCCTCGGTAGGAATGGGGGGACCATGGAGGGCTCTGCCGTCTGTGTTTTCACCATGAAGGACGTGCAGTCGACCTTCAGCGGCTTCTTCAAGGAGGTGAACCGCGAGACGCAGCAGTGGTACACAGTGACCCACCCGGTACCCTCGCCCAGGCCGGGCGCGGTGAGTGCTGCTCCCGGCCCCAGGGCAGCATGCTGGGAGGGCGGGTCCACACCCCACGCTGGGCTTGCTTGCCTTCTCTAAGTCTGTTGTCTCATCTCAAAAGTGGGGGCAGAACCCAGGGCTGCTTGTCCTTCCAAGTTCAACCTGACCGTGGCCGTCAGGATGGCAGTGGGCTGGACAGGGCTGTCCCATCAGAGCGCCGCCTGCCGTGAGCCTCTCTCCTGCCCCACCGTGAGCTCCTCGTTGTTGAGTGGCTGGCTGTGGGCAAATGGTCCTCACCAAGCAGACCTTGAGACAAGGATGTGGGTGCTGGCAGTTTCTAGGGGAGCTACTCCCCGGAAGCAGAAAAGAGGGGACAGGATTGTGGAGGGAGGGGTGGAGCCAAGAAAGTGGGGATCGGAGCTGCTGTGGGCTCCTGGAGCTGAGTCCCCGCGGGCCCTGGGAGACTACATGGAGTACATCTCAGTGTTGTCCCACTGGGGTGTCTGTTACCAACTGCTGGGCCTCAGTGATCGAGGGTCACTCTGGGATGTTAATTCCCGGAGCTGCTACAGAGAATGCCCCTGGGCGGAGAGAATCAGGAGCCCTTGTGCTGTCGCTCAGTCATGTCCGACTCTTTGCGACCCCATGGACTGTAGCCCGGCAGACTCCTCTGTCCATGGGGATTCTCCAGGCAAGAATACTAGAGTGGGTTGCCATGCCCTCTTCCAGGGGATCTTCCCGACCCAAGGACTCGAACTGGGGTCTCCTGCATTGCAGGCGGATTCTTTACCAGCTGAGCTACCAGGGAAACCCAGGAAGCCTCTGGCAATATGGCAGACTAGCTGCAGGCGCCCTTGTGGCCCCTACACTAGGACACCTTGCTCAGCCAGGGTTTCTTGGGAAAGGAACTCTAGTCACTTCCTGCTGAAAGGATGCCATAGGAGCAGGAAGTGCGGTCATGCCCAGGGTAGGGGGTGGGGGAACGAGGGGTGGTTGGTGGGCAGAGAGGGGGAAACCCTGGCATCCAGGGCCCATGGCGCCACATCCCTGGACCTGCAGATAAGTGTGTTGGCTCCACAGAACTGGAGAGCCATGCTGTCGCCTGGCTTCTGAGGGTGGGGGAATCCCTGCTGTCCACTGGGGAGGCAGGGCTTGGCAATCCCGGTGGGATCTGTAGAACACCCATCCTGCTGGCCACCCCAATGCCGCCCATCTCAAGCCAACGCCTTCTCCTTCAGTGCATCACCAATAGTGCCCGGGAGAGGAAGATCAACTCGTCGCTGCAGCTCCCCGACCGCGTGCTGAACTTCCTCAAGGACCACTTCCTGATGGACGGACAGGTCCGCAGCCGCATGCTGCTGCAGCCCCAGGCCCACTACCAGCGCGTGACCGTCCACCGCGTGCCTACCCTGAATCGCACCTACGACGTCCTCTTCCTGGGCACTGGTAAGTGCCCACAGCAGGCTGGCTGGGGGTCGAGGGGGCATGGGCGGCAGGCTCCTCACAGGGCCTGAGCAATGTCCCTATCGCAGGTGACGGCTGGGTGCACAAGGCGGTGAGCATGGGCACCACAATGCACATCATTGAAGAGCTCCAGGTCTTCCCGGCAGGACAGCCCGTGCGGCACCTGCTCCTGGACGCCGACAGGGTGAGCAGAGTGGGGAGTCTGGGCAGTGGGCTTGGGGTGTCCCGCCCTCCTGCCCCAGCCGGGTGGAGAGATCTAGGCTCTGGGCATGAGCTGTCGGAATGTGGTGGGGGGCGGGCCAGGTGCGTGAGAAGCGGCTCGCAGGAGGTGGCTTTGTGGGGCGCTGGAGCCGGGGCCTGCCTCCCATGCTGCGTGTCTCTTGCAGGGATTGCTGTACGCTGCCTCACACTCGAGTGTGGTCAAGGTGCCTGTGGCCAACTGCAGCCTGTACCAGAGCTGCGGGGACTGTCTCCTGGCCCGGGACCCATACTGCGCTTGGAACGGCTCGAGGTGTGCATCCATCACCCTCTACCAGCCGGAAGTGGCCTCCAGGTGAGAGCTCGTTCAGGCCCATTCCCCTTGTCCCTCCTGGCGCACCCGCCTCCAAGTGCCTCTGCTTTAGACCCTCTGGAATCACCACACAGCCTCATTTGTGTCTGCTGTCTGGACATCATTTTTTTTTTTCAATAATTTTATTTATTTAGTTTTGACTGTGCTGGGTCTTTGTTGTTATGTAGCCTTTGCTCTAGTTGTGGCGAGTGGGGGCTACTCTCATTGCAGTGCACAGGCTTCTCCTTGCAGTGGCTTCTCTTGCTGGGGACCACAGGCTCTAGAGTGTGGGCTTCAGTAATTGCAGCTCTCAGGCTGTACCGCACGGGCTCAGGAGTTGTGGTGCACAGGTTGCTTCGCAGCAGGTGAGATGTTCCTGGACCAGGGATTGAAGCTGTTACCTCCTGCATCAGCAGGTGGATTCTAAGAGTTGTAGCTCAGACAGTAAATTATGTTTGCCTTACCCATCTGTAAAGCAGGGACAGGATTTGGTAGTGAGTATGAAATGTCATAGCTGTGAAAAGATTTGCTGGAGACTGAATTGACACGTGAATGTAGTTAAATAACAGAAAATAAGGGCTCCTTAACAGTCCATTAACAGACCCATGAAGGGACTTCCCTGGTGGTCCAGTGGTTAGAACTCTGCTGTTCCACTGCAGGGGACGAAGGTTTGTTCCCTGATCAGGAAACTAAGATCGTGAAAGTGGCGTGGCCAAAAACAAACCGATTAAAAATTGTTTTCAAAATAACTGATTTTGTCTAAGAAAACTTAGACAATAGAGATAAGCACAAACAAAATAGAAACTACCCAAATTTTACAACATAGAGAGACTTAGATTTAATATATATCCTCCCAGATTTTTCCACATATGTGTAATATAAAGAAAAATTCCTTTTTTTTTTTTTTTTTTCAGTTAAAAAAAAGCTTTAGTTTTTTAACAACAACAAAAAAATTGTTTAGCTGCAGTTGGTCTTTGATCTTTGCTGTGACATGTGGGATCTAGTTTCCAGACTGGGGATCAAGCCCAGGCCCCCTGCATTGGAAGCTCAGGGTCTTAACCACTGGACCATGAGGGAAGTCCCAAATACATACGTTTTAAGTAAAAGTTGGATCTGTCCTATTTGTAGTGTCTGTACTTCACTGAAGTGCATACCTGTTTCCAGTATTATATTTTAAAACATCAGTGTGTGTGTGTACACATACGTATACCTGAAGGAACACTCCAAAAAATGCCACCGTTATTGTTGACTGGGTAATTGTGTTTTTCTTAATTATATTCTAGCTCCATAAAGTTTTATTTTGTTTTTAATACTTAGGTATTTATTTGGTTATTCTGAGTCTTAGTTGCAGCATGTGGGATCTAATACCCTGACCAGGGATGGAACCTGGGCTCCCTGCATTGGGAGCTTGGACTCTTAGCCACTGGACCACCAGGGAAGCCTCTGATTGTGATTTTTGTAATGTTTTTAGCCTTTGTGCTTGGTTGAGTTCTGTGTTTTCCAAAATCAAGTCAGTGCCGGTGCTTTGCAAAAGAGACAGGTATATGTTAATACATACAGATTTGGCTGTCCTTCCAGACGTTCTCTAGGGGCTCATTCTGCTTTTGTGATTAAGGAAGTATCACAGCAACTTTATGTGAAGTAAATACTGTGTAGACAGAGGAGATGCCAGGTCTGTCTACAGAACTTGTGGGCTGGGGAACCGCGAAGGGAGGCTGCCTGCCTTTCACCCCTGCCTTGGTCCTGGTAGTCCCTGAGCCCTTCCCCAGGCCCACGTCTGCAGACTGTGTGACAGCGTGTACTGCATGGAGGAGGAGGCGGGCACATGCAGGCTGGTGGGGTTTCCTGTCCTATCCCAGACTCTTTGGTCCCCAGGCCGTGGATCCAGGACATCGAGGGGGGCAATGCCACGAACCTCTGTGGCCCTTCCAAGGCCCGGGCGTCTGTACCAAAAGGTAAGGTGCCCCACCAAAAGATGGAGGAAAGGCAGGGGCCAAGTCTGCCTGGCAGGCTCCTGCAGGCACTGATGGGCATAAATGCCTTTCCTCACTTACTCATCCCTCTGGCCCTGGAAGCAGGGTCCTGGCAAGTGAGACCCACAGTCCCCAAAGTCCCCAAGTTGCTGTTATAGCAACGAGGTGCACAGCCTGGAGGGAGGTGGGTGAGTGAGCCTGGGGTGAGCGTAGACGCCAGCCCGCCCTTGACCGGGGACTGTGCCTCTTCTGCCTGCAGGTGAGAAGCCCTGTGAGCAGGTTCATTTCCAGCCCCACACGGTGAACACCTTGGCCTGCCCCCTCCTGTCCAACCTGGCGACCCGGCTCTGGCTGCACAATGGGGCCCCCATCAACACCTCGGCCTCCTGCCGCGTGCTGGCCACCGGGGACCTGCTGCTAGTGGGCAGCCAGCAGGAGCTGGGGCTGTTCCAGTGCTGGTCGCTGGAGGGAGGCATCAAGCAGCTGGAGGCCAGCTACTGCCCAAAGGTGGTGGATGAGGTGACCGGCGGTGCGGGCCGGAGCGGCAGTGTGCCTGTCATCATCAACACGTCTCGGGTGAGCGCAGGCAGCAAGGCCAGCTGGGGCACGGACAAGTCCTACTGGACGGAGTTCCTGGTGATGTGTGCGCTCTTCGTGTTTGCCATGGTGCTCCTCATCTTGTTCTTCCTCTACCGGCATCGCGGTGGCATGAAGGTCTTCCTGAAGCAGGGGGAGTGTGCCAGCGTGCACCCCAAGACCCGCCCAGTGGTGCTGCCGCCTGAGACCCGGCCGCTCAATGGCATGAGCCCCCCTAACACCCCGCTCGACCAAGGCTACCAGGCCCTGTTGGACAGCTCCCCGGGGACCCGCATCTTCACGGAGTCAGAGAAGAGGCCACTGAGCGTCCAGGACAGCTTTGTGGAGGTGTCCCCGGTGTGCCCCCGGCCCCGGGTCCGCCTGGGCTCTGTGATCCGGGACTCGGTAGTGTGAGAGCAGACTTCCGGAGGCGGCCTCCCTCTGGGGGCCCCGAGTGCTCAGAGCTGGTCGGCTGGATCTCTGCTCCTCCTTGTGGAAGAAGCTGTGGTGTCCACCCCTCGGGAGCGACAGAGCCCGCTGCCAAGTAGCAAGGCCCCCCCGACCCTCCACCCCAGATGGCCACGTCCCTGTGGATCCTGGCTGAAGATGGGGGCCTGCCCAAGTGAGCAGATGCTCCTTAAGTGAACTGAGCCCTTTGTTTAAAAACAGTTGAAAATGTGAAACAGGAAAAGGAGACAGGATGACGCCACACCTGTGGCCAGCCCAGTGCCTGGCTCCCAGCGCCCAGCTCCCAGGTTGGAAGGACGCACCCAGAGTGGCTGTGTGAGATGAGCTGGAAATGGCGCACCCACGGGCCTCTTCCTCCTTCCCCTACTGTCACAGGCTGCCCCTGCTCGCTGCAGAGACAGTGGCCAGCTTGGGCTCCAAGCGGTCCAGCCTCCCCAGCTGGCCAAGTCCTTGCAGCCATCATCCTGTCACCTCAGGGACCAGAGGGCCACGCTGGCCCCGCAGCCCTCCCAAGGCCCTGGGCTCAGGCCCACCTCCTCCTGGACTTTTCCGGCCTGTATCAGGCTGCGGCCACATTAGAGAGAGGGCAGCACCAGCCCAGAAGAGAGTCTATGACAGTGAACATCATCCCTCGGAATTCTAGGAAGAGACTGCTGCCTGCCTTCCTCCAGCCTACAAACCTGTGTCCCTTTTTCCCATACCTGCCCTGGCCTTCAAACCCAGCCGTTCATCCCTACACCTTGCAACCTCCACTCTTAAGGGACAGCTAAGCCCGTGCACCACTGATAACTGCCCAGCACAAGGGACCCTGAGTTTATGTGGGTTTTATATATTTTTTTTTAAATAAAAATGCACTTTACTTTTTTTTTTTTTTAATAAAATCTAAATAATTGACATTGAATCCTGGGCCCTTCCTCTTACAGGACTGTTGCTTTTTGAGGTTGGTCCAGTTCTCTGAGTTCTGGGAGGTTCTAGGCCACCTCTTTCAGATGCTAGTGGGCTAACGCCAGCCCAGCCTGGTTGACCACATCTCCCCTCGGAGCCAGGTTTTTTTTTTTTTTTTTCTTTCTTATTTTGGTCGTGCTGGGTCTTCGTTGCCGTACAGGCTTTTCTCTAGTTGTGGCAAGTGGGGGCTACTCTGGATGTGGTACGCCGGCTGCTCACTGCGGTGACTTCTCTTGTTGCAGAGTACGGGCTCTGGGGCTCATGGTCGTGGGCTTCAGTAGTTGTGGCATGTGGGCTCTAGAGCATGAGCTCAGGAGCTGTTCAAATGATCACACAGTGAAACTGACTTTTTTTTTAGTACACGGTTCTATGAGTTTTAACACATGTAGAAGTTCATGTACCCACCACCACTATCAGGATACAGAGTTCCACCCCTCGTGCTCCCCTTCATACCCCCTCAAAAGGGACGGTGGGACGGGCAGATACAGTCTGACTTCCTGCTGTCCCCTTCTTTGCGTGCATGCTTAGTTGCTCAGTTGTGTCCAAATCTTTGTGATCCCATGGGCCTTACCAGGCTCCTCTGGCTGTGGGATTCTCCAGGCAAGAATACTGGAGTGGGTTGCCATTTCCTACTCAGGGGATCTTCCTGACCCAAGGATACAGTCTGACTTCCTGCTGTCCCCTTCTTTGCGTGCATGCTTAGTTGCTCAGTTGTGTCCAAATCTTTTTAATCCCATGGGCCTTACCAGGCTCCTCTGGCTGTGGGATTCTCCAGGCAAGAATACTGGAGTGGGTTGCCATTTCCTACTCCAGGGACAAAAGTTTTAATAGTTATCTATGTTAATATCTTTTAGAGAAAGCAAGTAGGCCACTAAACCCATGATTTTATGGATATTATTGCTTAAAAAGAGATGGGCTTTAAAAATAAAACAGTGTGGGAGTTTCCAGGCTCCTCTGGCTGTGGGATTCTCCAGGCAAGAATACTGGAGTGGGTTGCCATTTCCTACTCAGGGGATCTTCCTGACCCAAGGATTGAACCTGGGTCTCCTGCATTACAGGCAGATTCTTTACCATATGAGCCATCAGCCATCCCCCTTTTTAAGTCCTACTTATCCCCAGGGTGACCTAGGGCTCATAAAAGTCCACTCCTTCACACCAGTAATTCTAGTGTTGCACAAAGGCTCAAAACTTCTAAACCTTTATTAGTGATTAGTAGGAACACAAACAGAGCGATGACAGTGAGAAGGGGAAAGGCCCTGACGTGGAGGGCCCTCCACAGCCCCGGGCAAGACCGCGCAGTACCAGCTCCGGGCTGGACCAGCTTGGCCGGTGCTGACAACACAGGGGGTAACCATGACCACAGCTCAGCAGTGGCCATTCTTCAACAGGGTGCTGCTACACATGCTGTGGCTCCCATCACAGGACAATCTTAAAGGAACTGAACAAGAGAAGAGTGTGTTGGGGCTTTCTGCTGGAAGAAACCCTAGGTTCCTCCCTAGGTTTACCCCTCCCCCAAGACCCCTTGGCTATATCCCACATGTGTGAGTCCCCTTTAGAAGAAGAGCTACTCTAACATATTCAGAGGAAGCAGGAGGCCTTTTCCTACCCCAGGGACCACCTCCGGAAATAACATCTCAGACCTGGTGCAGCAGGTGAGGACCAAGTCATACCTGGCAAAATCTGGTGAGCGGGAGATGACATGCTGGAACTCGGAGAGGTTGATGGTCCCATCCCTATCAATGTCGGACTCCTCTAGGATCTGGAAAGGGGAAGCTTCAATGCCAAAGCCCAAGCCTTCCCCGCCTGCTCCCTGGCCCAGCCCAGCCCACCCCCACTGCTCACGTTGTCGATGAGCTGCTTCATCTCTGAAGCACTGAGCCGTGTGTCTTCGCTCTCTCCTGTGAGGCAGTTCACGAGCTGGCTCAGGTCTTCTCTGTTTAAGGTTCCATCATCATCAAAGTCTAGAAAGCAGACACAGGAAGCCCAAAAGGAGGTGGTCAGGATGAGCACCCAGCTCATGACTCCCTGAGCTCCCACAAAGACCATGTTGGAGGAGCTGGTGTTCCACCCGGCCCCCTACTCCTTACCGAAGATGCGGAAGGCATAGTGGGACTTGATGTCTGGGGTGGCTGTGTCACTGAACACACTGAGGAGATCCAAGAAGTCCTCGAAGCTCAGGCTGTCTCTGCTCGGGGAAGTGGAGAAGACCTTGCAGATTCGCTCCTTGAAGGGGTTAGCCTAAGCAAGAAAGCCTTCTGTGAACGCCACACACGAAGCAGCCCAAATCACACATTCAAACGCCACCGGGAAACGAGGGAGCGGTTCAGGCTCTCAGGAGAACCATCATCACTTTGGGGCCAGCATAGAAGTCAGGACGACCCATGACCCCACTGGGGAAGAGACAGGAATGGCTTTCTGGGCATCAGAGCTTAACCTAAAGGCAGGCCTGGGAGCAGAGAAGGAAGGAAGAGGAAGGCATTCTAAGCAAAGAGAACAAGATGAGCCGGTTATTTTAAAACACAAATATTGAACCAAGCAATTACTGTGTTATAGGCCAGGCCCTTTGCATAGAAATTTTCGCAGCAGCCCTATGGAGAGGCAGTTAACTTCTGGAATAGAGTTTCTCAAACTTCAATAAGGTAATTCAACTCCTCTTAAAGGACAAAACTTTGAACCTCCAAGAATATGTCTGAGGACCCCAGTGTGCAAAACATTCTTCTGTTACTATATAACTCCCCCGGATGACCTTGATAAAGTACCCAGGAACTTAGGGTGAAACAGAAGACTAGAATGGGGAGCAGTGAGCATGTGACCTCAGAAGGAGTAGCAGAGGGAGGCTGGTGGGGGCTGGCACCTTGAGCTCTGGAAGGCTGAGGATCTGCTCCAAGGACACCCGAGCCTGCAGTGACTCCTCCACACTCCGCTGCTCCTGGGGAAGCAGCTCACAGAACCGTCTGTGGGCTCTGGCAGAAGGAAGAGAAAGTGCTTTCCTAAGTGTACCACATCCCTCCTCCGGTCCTTGAATACCCATCATGACCAGCTGAGGAGCTAAGCCCTCGGGACTTCTAAGGCAAGAGGAGACACATCACAAGACAGTACAGGGAGCCTGGGGGTCCATCCTTGCGGGTTTACTGCAGGACCCCGTGTCCCAGGCACTGTGCTTGGCCGATTCTAGACTCCCCCAGGTTTGGAGAGGTCCGGGAAGGGGCCAGAAGTTGGCCTTAAAGAGCAAGCAAAAAAGAGCGAAACTGAAATCTCATTTCATTTCAGGAATCTCCCGCTGCTCCTCAAAGCAGCTACCCTGAACTTTCTCCCCCTTAGGCCCCGCCTCATTCCCACTGGGATTATTTTTTGCCAAGAGAAGCCTAAGAACCTTCTTGCTCAGGTGTGCGGCCACAATAAAGCTGGCTAGGAAGGGGGTTCCAGCCCCAGGTCAAATCCTCTTAAAAAAGAATGTTGTTTTAGGCAAGTTATCCGACTGTTTCACTGTCCCCATACCTCCCTCGTGAGGGTTACAAAGGATACGTAGACAACCCTTTAGCAGAGCATGGCAGATGCTCAGTAAGCGTTAACGGTTACGGTAGTATTCAGATAAAGGAGGAGCCAGAGGGCTCCCCAAGGCTTCTCTGGCTTTGCCAGCAGACAAAGCAGCCCAGAACTACAGCAGTCCCTGCCGGACTGGGGCAGGAAGTTCCGTTTTGCAGAAGTCAGGGGAGCGGGGTCAAAGAGCACCCAACTCCGGCTGGAGGCTGCTCCGCGGTGCACCGCTGGGGCCGCCGGCGCGAGATGGGAGGGTGTGCCGGGAAGAGGGCACAGCCGAGGGCCCGAGGCCCCGGCCTCCAGTTCCGGCTCAGCTGCTGGCCTCAGGCAGGCCCCTGCCCCTCCCGCTGGCGGGGCCTTGGTTTGCCCATCAGTAAGATGGAGCCTCCCCAGCTCCCGAAACCGTTCCGAGAGCATCCCAGAGGTGAGGTTCGAAACAGCACTTACAGAAGGATCTCCTGTTTGGTCAGGAACGTCAAGTCCTGGAAGGCAAAACGAGAGAGGAGGGTCAGCAGGCCGCCCGGGGGCACAGGCCGCGCCCACCCGCTCGGCCGCGGCTCGGGGACCGTCCTCTCCCGAGCGCAGGCCGCGCGCAAACTCCCTGGGGACCGGCGTCTCGCGCACCTGGTACTCTGCCAGCAGCTCCTTGGACAGGCGACTGCCCGAACCCCCCATCGCTGCCGCTCGCACACAGCTCCGCCAACTTGTCTCGGGACGCCGGCAACTTTCTCACTTCCGCCCTCGGGCCGCGTCACCACCCGGTGCCCGCGGCAACCGCTCCTGGGGCCACCGCCCCCCGGGCCCGCCCCCTCCTTAAGGCTCCCAGGCGCTCCCAGCCCGGTTCCGCCGGTTGGCTCCCGGCTCCGGGCAGTCCCTGGAGAGCTGGAGGCGGGGCCCGGGGCGGGGCCGGACGCTCCGGGGCGGGGCCCAGGCCTCACGGCCCCGCCTCCAGGATGGAGGGGCCGGCCCGTGCTGTCTTCGCGCGCTGGCGTGCAGGCCGCGCATGCGTTGAGGACGCCACGACCCCGCGATGGCCCCGGTAGAGTTTAGGGGAAGTCGCGCGGTGCGTCCGCCTCACCTTCAGTAGGTGACGGGGGTGACGGCCGTGGCGGCCTTGGGCAGAGTCCGGTAAAGAGCATCGGGGAAGTGTTTGGAGCCGGGGTAACCGAGAAACCTCGTGGCTCGCTGAGTGGCCCGTGGCGGTCGGCTGCCCTCTCTGCCTAGCGAGGGCTTTTCCACTCGGACGTTGCCATTCGTCACCTGCCGTACTAGTTGCAACCCTCACGCCACGTCTGCAGAAATAACCATAACCTTGCTGCCTGTTGAGGCTGTTTATTGAGGGCCCACTGAGTCCCAAGCGCTGTGCATAATTAGCTTCACTTCTTACATCTCTGCAAGGTGAGTTACCGGGGAAATACAAAGGCTCACTGCAGTTCAGTGTGTCTGTGTGTGTGCGCGCGCGTGTTTAGTCGTCTCCGACTCTTTGCGGCCCCATGGACTGTAGCCTGCCAGGGTCCTCTGTCCATGGGTATTCTCTAGGCAAGAATACTGGAGTGGGTTACCACACCCTCCTCTAGGGGATCTTCCAGCCTACATATGGAACCCACCAAGTCTAGAGACTTGTCTAGACTTGAGCTTTTAAAAAGCGGTGGCTCCATTCTAAGGCTCTTTTCAAGGATCCCCACTGCTGTACTCTCCCCAGCCTGCATGCTGCCCTGTGACCTGCACCCAGACTGCATGCTGGGGGAGTAGGAATTGAAACTGAACTATTTGCTCTTGTCCCCACTCAGGCCCTAAGACAATGCTTGACACGTGCATGGTACGGTCTCAGTTTGTATTGGATGCATGCATGAATGAGTATTCTGAAAGGTAAGGGTTACAAACTACTGAGTGGAGGAGGTAGTGAGATTCGTTATTTTTTATTGTTTTCTACTTTAATACGATATAACAGACAAAATATAGTTCTTGATTCTTTTAATTAATTCCACTAGCTTATCTTTGTAAAGTCTAAATATGAGCATGTCAGTCTGTTTAAAACCATTAAGGAGTTAAATACCCAGAGCAACCCCCTGTAATTCAACTTCAACCTCACTTTATCTGTCTGCCAGTCTCCTCAGGCTTTCTGGGTTTCAGCCACTATGGGTTCTCCATTCCTCTTCCATCTTATCCTCAGGGAATCCTTCCCTGATTTCCTAGACTAGATTAAGAATCTGTATTACACTCACAGAGGATCCAGTGCTTTCCTTGACAGCATCTGTCATATTTGCCATCTATATTTACATGTGTGATGACTGAATTAATGTCTTTTTCTCCCACTAGACTGCAAGCTCCGTGAGGAGCAGTGGGAATCATGATTTTCAGACACAAGGTGTGGCAGTTGTTGAGTGAATGCTTTTGCTGAGTAACTGTAATTTTCCCAGCACTCGGTAATGATAAGGTGATCATCGGAGAATGACTTAGTTAGACTCATTGTATCAACCTGTGAGTCCCACCACTGCGGAAATATTACCTTCCAGAAAGTAGAGGCTACAGAGCAGTGGGAACACCAAAGCCAGTCAAAGTGACTGGAGTGTAGTCTCTTGAGAATAGACTCCTGTCCAAGAAAGAGTTGGTCTTCGGTTAACAAAAGGCAACGAACAAGAATCCGCCTGCAATGCAGGAGACCCCGGTTTGATTTCTGTGTCAGATGATCCTCCGGAGAAGGGACAGGCTACTCACTCCAGTATTCTTGGGCTTCCCTGGTGACTCAGCTAGTAAAGAATCCACCTTCAATGCAGGAGGTGTGGGTTCGAGCCCTGGGTTGGGACGATCCCCTGGAGAAGGGAACAGCTACCCACTCCAGTATTCTGGCCTGGAGAATTCCATGGACTGTATAGTCCATGGAGTTGCAAATTGAACATGACTGAGCAACTTTCACTTTCTTTCAACGAACAAGAAGCTGTCATTGTGTCTCCTATGCTAGGCTAAGAAGACAGAGCACCAACCAGTGAGTGCACATCCTTGGACTTCAGGATGAGACTGCATCTTTTCATGGTGAAGGTGTGGGACTTGACACTGCCCCGCCATAGTGGCCAGCTGTGATGTAGATTGCTCAGCCACCTCACTTGACTTTGAACCCTTCGTCATTGAACAGTTTTTTTATTATAATTTTGCCTCCTGGTAAATTTTTGTACGGATGAAGGTCTGTAGCAACCAACCACAAAGAACATTTTGTGCTCTTTGCCATGTTTCTCACTATAAATTATTAAATCAGTATTCTGAGTCATCTAGCAGTCCCTGGTGAGCTTGGTTAACATATTGTCTTTCCTGTGTTCAATGAACCCTTGATAACGGTGATAAAACTGAGTGGCTGATTTAAAAATAGCTCCTAGTGTTTGTTTTCCAAGACATTTTTTCCCCTACTTGTCATATTATTTCCCTCTTCCTCTTTCCTTTGAGACATTAGATGGTATGGCCACCAAGGTGTGTTTGAGGTGATGGTGGTTTAATTGCTAAGTCAGGTCCGACTCTTTGTGACCCCATGAGCTGTAGCCTGCCAGGCTCCTCTGTCCATGGGATATCCCAGGCAAGAATACTTGAGTGGGTTGCTATTTCCTTCAGGGGATCTTCCTGACCCAGGGGTCGAACCTTGGTTTCCTGCTTGCTTCCCTAAGCCACCAGGGAAACCCATGTCTGAGGTGGTACTGTTTGATCTGAGACTTAAATGAGACAGGCATGTGAAGACAATCTGGGAGAAGGGTATTTTAGACTGAAAGAACAGAAAGCACCAAAGCCTTGAGCAGGAACAGGTTTAGGGAGAGTGAGGAGCAGAGTAGGCAAGGGGAAGAGTGGTCTAAGAGGAGGTGAAGAGGAGGCCCAGCTAAGCCTTGAGAGCCCAGAGCCCATGGTGCAGAAATGGGTTTTGTTTTAGGGGCTCAAGGTCACATCATCCCTAGTGAATAGAAGAGTCAGAATTCAAACATCTTGTCAGCCTCCAAAATCAGATCTCTCACCTTCCTGCCAAGATGATACCCACCACACAGGCTTGTTGTGAGGGTCACCTACGTAAACTTGGAAAGCCCCCAGCCCATGCCTGGCATAGGAGAGACATGGGACCTGTGTTCCCTTCCTCCTGGTTTTCCTATGAAGGTTCAGTCCTGTCACGTGCTCACTATGATTTGTTATTCTCAAGTATTCCTCTTTATTTCTAGGTATTGTTTTTTGCCTCTTAGTTCACTTGAATATCTTCCCTAGTGGCTCAGATGGTAAAGAGTCTGCCTGCAGTGTGGGAGAACCGGGTTCCATCCCTGGGTTGAGAAGATCCCCTGGAGAAGGAAATGGAAACCCACTCCAGTTTTCTTGGAGCCTGGAGAATCCCAAGGACTCAGGATCCTGGCTGGCTACAGTCCATGGGGTCGCAAAGAGTCAAACACAACTGAGCGACTTCAATTCTTTCTTTCTATTCATTCACTTGAATATCGGTACAACCATACCCACTTTCTATTGGTTCTGTTGACTGATATGTCTTTACTCATATTTTTAGTCTTTTGGTACCATTTTGGCCCTGGGTCCTTGGTCTTAGCCCTTGGGTCTTAATGCTATTCTAATTTCTGTCTAGCCCAGACTTCAACTTGACCTCCAGGTTTGACTGTCCAGCTGCCTACACCACTTGTCTTGAATGCCCAGGTGACATCTCAAACTCAATAATGAAAACTGAACTCTTGATCTCTCCTTTCCTCTAGTCATCTATTCCCGCCCGCACCCCATCTCCACCCTGTCTATCTCTGTAAATGCCACTGCAGGGCCTGGTTCCTGAAGCTGAGTCACTCCCAGTTCTTCCTTTTCCCTCAGTGTCCATAGTCAGCATGTCAGCAGGCCCTGTTGGTTCTGTCTTTAAAACATGACCCATATTCCCAACTCCTCCTAACTCTGTTGCCATCTGTGTTGTCCAGTCACCTCACTGCTCACCTGGCCACCAGAGTGGCCTCAAAAGTGGTCTCTGCTTCCTCTTTGCTCCCCTACGATCCACTTTCCACATAACAGTTAGAAAAAAGTTTATAAAATATCAGATAGTCCTGAAATTCGTGGGTTCAATCCTTGGTCAGAGAAGTTCCACATACTGTGTGGTGTGGCCAAAAAAATAAAATACCAGATGGTCCTTATGAACCTACCAGTGATGTCTTATTCCATTTAGAACCTACCAGTGATGTCTTACTTCATTTAGAACCTACCAGTGATGTCTTACTTCATTTAGAATAGAATCCAAGTTCCTGTCCATGATGCATAAGGCCCTGCAGCTAATCTGACCTCCGCCTTCATTAAGCTTCACTTATTGGGGGGGTCCTCTCCCCTTTGTCAGCCATACCCCAGTAATGTTGCCTTCTTTCTGTTCCTAGAACAGGCCAACCAGCTGCCTGCAAGACTCGTGGCCTTGGACTTCTAGTTTCTTTTGCCTGGAGTACACTCAGCTCTTCATTGTAGGACTCGTCTTATCCTTCCTGTCTTAGCTCAGCTGGCACATCCCTCTTATAGAAGTGAGATGTCCTGATCCCACCGCTTAGTCACCCCCTGTTTTATGACTTGTTTTAAGGAAATGGAAACCCACTCCAGTTTTCTTGGAGCCTGGAGAATCCCAAGGACTCAGGATCCTGGCTGGCTACAGTCCATGGGGTCGCAAAGAGTCAAACACAACTGAGCGACTTCAATTCTTTCTTTCTATTCATTCACTTGAATATCGGTACAACCATACCCACTTTCTATTGGTTCTGTTGACTGATATGTCTTTACTCATATTTTTTAGTCTTTTGGTACCATTTTGGCCCTGGGTCCTTGGTCTTAGCCCTTGGGTCTTAATGCTATTCTAATTTCTGTCTAGCCCAGACTTCAACCTTGACCTCCAGGTTTGACTGTCCAGCTGCCTACACCACTTGTCTTGAATGCCCAGGTGACATCTCAAACTCAATAATGAAAACTGAACTCTTGATCTCTCCTTTCCTCTAGTCATCTATTCCCGCCCGCACCCCATCTCCACCCTGTCTATCTCTGTAAGTGCCACTGCAGGGCCTGGTTCCTGAAGCTGAGTCACTCCCAGTTCTTCCTTTTCCCTCAGTGTCCATAGTCAGCATGTCAGCAGGCCCTGTTGGTTCTGTCTTTAAAACATGACCCATATTCCCAACTCCTCCTAACTCTGTTGCCATCTGTGTTGTCCAGTCACCTCACTGCTCACCTGGCCACCAGAGTGGCCTCAAAAGTGGTCTCTGCTTCCTCTTTGCTCGCCTACGATCCACTTTCCACATAACAGTTAGAAAAAAGTTTATAAAATATCAGATAGTCCTGAAATTCGTGGGTTCAATCCTTGGTCAGAGAAGTTCCACATACTGTGTGGTGTGGCCAAAAAAATAAAATACCAGATGGTCCTTATGAACCTACCAGTGATGTCTTATTCCATTTAGAACCTACCAGTGATGTCTTACTTCATTTAGAACCTACCAGTGATGTCTTACTTCATTTAGAATAGAATCCAAGTTCCTGTCCATGATGCATAAGGCCCTGCAGCTAATCTGACCTCCGCCTTCATTAAGCTTCACTTATTGGGGGGGTCCTCTCCCCTTTGTCAGCCATACCCCAGTAATGTTGCCTTCTTTCTGTTCCTAGAACAGGCCAACCAGCTGCCTGCAAGACTCGTGGCCTTGGACTTCTAGTTTCTTTTGCCTGGAGTACACTCAGCTCTTCATTGTAGGACTCGTCTTATCCTTCCTGTCTTAGCTCAGCTGGCACATCCCTCTTATAGAAGTGAGATGTCCTGATCCCACCGCTTAGTCACCCCCTGTTTTATGACTTGTTTCCCACAAGATGCTGTCACCATGGGTAGTTAATATTTTCCTTTTGCTTATTATCTAACTTCAACCCAGGATGTAAGTTCCATAAGGATATGGACTTGGTTCCTTATTTGCTACCATGTCTTCATTGCCTCATACACAGCAGTTACTTCCTAAATACTTTGACTTTGTGGCTCAGCAGAACATAGACCAGGTTGCACAGAAGAGGTGGCCCTAGAATGTCAACAGTGGGGTTGAAGTGGGTTGATTCTGAATGAATGAATGAGAGACACTTAAGTGAATGTTGAGTCGCTCAATCATGTCCGACTCTTTGCAGCCCTGTGGGCTGCAGCATGCCAGGCTTCCCTGTCCTTCACTATCTCCTGGAATTTTTTTAAATGCATGTCCATTGAGCCAGTGATGCCATCCTGCTTAGGTTTAATTCAGCAAATTGTTGGATTTCTTAAATCTATTTTGAGAATCACTTAAATTGTTTTGAATTGTGGCCAAATACACATAACATGAAATTTACCACCTTGACATTTTAAAAATTGGGTTAAAAAGTAACATAAACTTTAAAACCTTAATCATTTCCGAGTGTATAGTTCAGTAGTATTAAATATATTCACATTATTTGGTAGCCCAGTCTCCAGAACTTTTTTCTTCTTGCAAAACTGAAACTCTGTGCCCATTAAACAACAGTTTCTCATTTCCCCCTTCCCCCAACCCTTGGGAACCACTGTTCTACTTTCTGTCGCTATGAATTTGAGCTTTTTTTTTTAAGTTAATTTACTTATTTGGTTGCACTGTGTCTTAGTTGTGGCATGTGGGATCTAGTTCCCCAACCAGGGATCCAGCCTGGGCATCCTGCATTGGGAGTGCAATGTTGCTGCCACTGGACCACCAGGGAAATCCCAGAATTTGAGCACTTTAGGTACCTTATATAAGTGAAATCATAAATAACTTGTCCTTTGGTAACTGGCTTATTTCAGTTAGCATAAAGTCCTCAACGTTCATCCATATTGTAGCCTGTGTTGGCACTGCCTTCTTTATAAGGCTGAATAACATTCCATTGCCTGTATAGGCCACCTCTTGTTTATCGACTTATCTATTGGTGGATACTTAAGTTGTTTCCACCTCTTGGCTACTGTGAATAATACTGCTGTGAACACAGGTGTATAAATACCTCTTTGAGACCCTGCTTTCAGTTCTTTTGGATATATCTTCAGGAGTGGAACTGCTGCATCACATAGTAATTTTATTTTTATTTTTTTGAAGAGCCGCTCTACTGTTTTCCATCTGTATCACTTTACATTCCCACCAATAGTGCCTAAGGGGTCCAATTTCTGCATATCCTTGCCAGCACCTGTTATTTTCTGTTTTTGATAGTAGCCATCCTAAAGAATGTCAAGTGGTATCTTATTGTGATTTTGATTTTATTTCCTTACTTAGTGATGTTGAGCATCTTTTCATATGCTTGTTGGCTATTTGTATATCTTTGGAGAAGTGTCCTAGACTCACTTTTATTTATTTATTTTTTTCCAATAGTAAAAGAAGATTTTATTTTATTTTATTTTATTTTTTCCATTTATTTTTATTAGTTGGAGGCTAATTACTTTACATCATTGCAGTGGTTTTTGTCATACATTGAAATGAATTAGCCATGGATTTACATGTATTCCCCATCCCGGTCCCCCCTCCCACCTCCCTCTCCACCCCATCCCTCTGGGTATTCCCAGTGCACCAGGCCCGAGCACTTGTCTCATGCATCCAACCTGGGCTGGTGATCTGTTTCACCCTAGATATACATGTTTCGAGGCTGTTCTCTTGAAACATCCCACCCTCGCCTTTTCCCACAGAGTCCACAAGTCTGTTCTATACATCTGCTAGACTCACTTTTAATAGAATAATTTAAGACTTTATATTTTTACTTATGCTTAGTAAATTATGCATAAATTATGCATAAATTTTTATGCTTAGTAAATTAAGTATAAAATTTAAGCTCAAGTTTTTTAAAAAAATGTTTATTGTGGTAAAAAATGCAAAAGTTTTACCATCTTAACCATCTCTAAGTGTGCAGTTCAGTAGTATTACCATCTTAGCCATCTCTAAGTGTACAATTCAGTAGTGTTACCACCATCTTAACCATCTCTGAGTACACAGTTCAGTATTGTTACCATCTTAACCATCTCTAAGTGTACAATTCAGTATGGTTACCATCTTAAACATCTCTGAGTGTACAGTTTAGTAGTATTAAGTATATTCACATTGTGTTGCCAATCTCTGAAATATTTTCACCTTACAAAACTGAAATTCTATACTCATTAAACTCAGCTTGACTTTTAACAAAACATTGTTTTTCTGTTTTATTAATGTAAAGTTTCTGGACCAGCAGAGCTGACGGTACCTAAGCTTGTGCTGAGGCGACTCTACTGAGGTAAGCTTCCTTCTGAAGTCCCTTCTGGGCCAACAGCAGGTCATGTCCCTGACCCCTTGGGTCCCCTGGGCTTCAGGGACCCAGTAGAGATGAAGACTAACACCTATTTCCACCTTAAAGGATTGGCGCTGTGCACTTACGATTGGCCATCCTCACCCAGGTGGTTGTATGCATGGCCATTTGGAATTACTACACAACAGTGGACAAGCTATTCCCATAAAAGGAGTAGTAAGCTTTGAAGCCGTGGCCACTCTCAGGCACTGGAACACTGGTGCAGTCTTCTGGAGGGCAGTTTGCCAGACTGTGTACTGAAAATCTGAGCCATGAGCCTCTTCTGAACCCGTGGTCAACTAAGATTTTATTTTAAATGAAAATAAAAGCATCTGCAAAGATAGATGCACATGTCCATCTATGTATGGTAGTAAGAAGTCAGAAAAACCTAAATGTACAAGAGTTAAAATCAGTTAAAAAAAGAAACAAGTTCCAGGACTTCCCTGGTAGTCCAGTGGTTAAGACTCTGTGCTCCCAATGCAGGGGGCATGGGTTTGATCCCTGGTTGGGGAACTAAGATTCTGCATGCCTCATGGCATGGCCAAAAAAAAAATCAAAATCTATCTACATATGAATATGAGGCTACATATGTAAATTGTGATTTTTCCCTGGGCATTGGAATAAGTGTTGTGATTTATCTGTATTTCTTTTCTCCACTAAGAAAGTTTTACATTATGTGTAATTTTTCGAAAGAGAAAGAATTTGATTTATATCTTTAATTCAGCAAAAATGTATGCTAACCTGCAGGTGGTAGAATTATGAGTGATTTCTGTGTTTTCAAAATATTCTACCAAAAGCATATATTACTTTTGCAATCAGAACAAAGAGTAAAGTTTATTTAAAAATTAAAATGGGGGAGTTCCCTGGTGGGCTAGTGGTTAGGATTCTGGGCTTTCACTGCCATGGCCCAGGTTCAGTCCCTGCTCGAAGAACTGATCCTGCAAGCTGAATGGTGCAGCCAAATAAATTAATAAATAATAGAAATAAAAATCTCACATGCCGCAACTAAAGATCCTGCATGCCACAACTAAAATGGAAAACTACTTGTGCTGCAACTAGGACCCCACACAGCCAAATAAGTAAATAAAAATAATTTGTGTGAAAAAAAAAAATACTTTGTGTGCGTTAGTTGCTCGGTTGTGTCCGACTCTTTGCAACCCCGTGGACTGTAGCCCCCCAGGCTCTCCTGTCCATGGAATTCTCAGGCAAGAATACTGGAGTGGGTTGCCATTTCCTTCTCCAAGATATATTTCTGCCCCAGGGATGGAACCCAGGTCTCCTGCATTGAAGGCAGATTCTTTACCATCTGAGCCACCAGGGAAATCCCAAAAATATATTTTAAAAAAAATACATAAGTAAAATGTAGTGAGTTTATTATTAAAAAATAAAATCTTTAGAAATGGGATGGCATCATGTATTTTTTACCTTGTGATTGTTTCAGGTCAGCCCCATGGCTATTCCACGTGCTTCAAATGAGACTTCCTATTTGCTGCCTCCAAACAAGGAGGACTGGGAAGGGCATGGCATTCCTGACTTTGTCTATGGGCAGGAGGAACTCATGATGGAAGGGGTTCAGTGGCCAAGGGGCGCACTCAGCCTCCTGAACACGCCACCACTGTCTCACTTTGACTCTGCCCTCTGCTCAGCCTGGAGGCAGCGGATGGAGCTGGGGCTTTTCCGCTACCCCCTGGGAGTGCTGCCAACCCAAACCCTGCCTGGGACCGTGGGTTTTGTGGCTCAGCTGAATGTGGAGCGAGGTGTGCAGAGAAGGCGCCCCCAGAACATCAAGAGCGTGAGGCAGGAGTTTGACCCTGAACAGTTTAACTTCAACCAGATCCGGCCGGGAGAGGTCCTTTTCCGTCTGCACCGGAAGCGGGATTGCCCCGGCACTGTCCAGCAAGAGGACATCCTGGTGGTGATCAACGTCAGCCCCTTGGAGTGGGGCCACGTGCTGCTGGTGCCCGAACCCGCCCGAGGGCTCCCCCAGCGCCTGCTGCCCGGGGCACTGCGGGCCGGGGTCGAGGCTGTGCTGCTGAGCTCACACCCAGGCTTCCGCGTGGGCTTCAACAGCCTGGGCGGCCTGGCCTCAGTGAACCACCTCCACCTGCATGGCTACTACCTGGCCCACCGGCTGCCTGTGGAGGGGGCCCCCAGTGAACCCCTGGACCCTCGGGGTCGTCTGCATGTGCTCCAGGCCCTCCCAGCTCCGGGCTTCCTCTTTTACACCAGTAGGCCAGGGCCTGACTTGGAAGCCTTGGTAAGCAGGGTGTGTCGGGCCACTGACTACCTGACTGACTGTGACATTGCGCATAATTTGTTTGTCACCCGGGGGGCCCCACCTGGAAAGACATCATCTTCCTCAGCTCTCTCGGGAGTCCGGGTCATTCTGTGGCCCCGGAAGCCCAGCTTTGGGATAAAGGAAGGTGAGGCATTCAATGTTGCCCTCTGTGAACTGGCTGGGCACCTCCCGGTCAAAACAGCCCAGGACTTCAGCAGCCTCACCGAGGCGGCAGCTCTGGCCCTCATCAGAGAATGTCTGCTGCCCCCAGCCCGGGCAGAAGACGTGCGGGCGGCGCTGGTGGCCTTGATAGGCCAGGAGGAACAATAATCCTCCCAGCAGTATTTATTCTTAACTGATCCGGAGAACTGTCCATCATGGTGCTGTGGGCGCGTTCATGAATGCCTTCTCACTGGTTTCAGCATAAGGGGAGGGATAAAGAACTGGTAAGTGGTCTCTTTAAAGAGGGAGATTGTTGGAATAAATGGCATGAATGAGCCCTCTTGGATGTATCTGCCGCTTTTCACCTTGCTTCTTGGACAAGTCCCAGGGATGTCAAACCTGTTACTAAGAAGGGAGTACGTACAGGAGTTACACGCTCCTGACTCTGTATGCTGACTTTTCTTTAAGTGTTAGCAAAGTGATAGTTTATCACTTGTTCTATCTTGCCTCTGCTGGTCCTGCCTCTGCCCACCACTCAGTTGTGTCTCTTCATTCTGCTCCTGAATTCATCCCCTCCATCCATATACTGTATTTGTAGGACATATTTTGCCTACCTGGGCACCTCAAATTTTCCTCCAGCCCCAGTGCTGAGCTAAGTGTTCTTCACATACATTATTTTGTGTGAGAACAAGGTGTCTTCACAACTTGAGCGTTGCAGGCCCTTTTAATAGCCGCATTTAGCAGATGAAGAGATGGAGGCTGATAGAAGTTTAGTAACCCATCCAAGTTCAGGTAGCTCAAAAGTAGTGGAGTCAAGATGGCAGCACAGGCAGTCAGGACACCATGAAGCTGAGCTGGGGCTGTGCACCTGTGACCATCATGTTAATAAAGTCTCCTTGAGATGAGGCAGAATATGCATAACAACCCATTTCATAAGAAAGTTTAACCTTGAAATTCCTCTGAACATTTTGGTCACCCTCAACATGCCTGTTTTTGGCAATTGCACTAATTTTAGCTCAGTGCCTCTCTCTACAAGCCTTTGCAAATACAGGCTCTAGAAAGATCACTTTATTTTGCTTGCATACTCTCTGAAGGGCGTGCAGTGACCATTATAGCAAAGTGGACTTGGAGTGCCTAAGGTGGTAGGTCCAAATACCAGGATTTCCCTAGCTTTCCCTTAGGACTGATATTCAGAGGAAGGCCTTCTTCTGGCCCCAAATAAATCTTTACACAAAAATTAAAAGGTTTTCTTTATGGTGGTACTTCTTAGCCATGTGTACTTTGTGAATGATCAAGAAAGGGATTTATGGAAGCCTTCTCTAAGCTTAAATATGGAACATTTAGGAGCTGCTTTGTACCCAGGGCCCTGGGCTTTGAGCACAGTAGGAAGGTAAGAAGGGTTGACTTTTCTTTAAGTGTTAGCAAAGTGATAGTTTATCACTTGTTCTATCTTGCCTCTGCTGGTCCTGCCTCTGCCCACCACTCAGTTGTGTCTCTTCATTCTGCTCCTGAATTCATCCCCTCCATCCATATACTGTATTTGTAGGACATATTTTGCCTACCTGGGCACCTCAAATTTTCCTCCAGCCCCAGTGCTGAGCTAAGTGTTCTTCACATACATTATTTTGTGTGAGAACAAGGTGTCTTCACAACTTGAGCGTTGCAGGCCCTTTTAATAGCCGCATTTAGCAGATGAAGAGATGGAGGCTGATAGAAGTTTAGTAACCCATCCAAGTTCAGGTAGCTCAAAAGTAGTGGAGTCAAGATGGCAGCACAGGCAGTCAGGACACCATGAAGCTGAGCTGGGGCTGTGCACCTGTGACCATCATGTTAATAAAGTCTCCTTGAGATGAGGCAGAATATGCATAACAACCCATTTCATAAGAAAGTTTAACCTTGAAATTCCTCTGAACATTTTGGTCACCCTCAACATGCCTGTTTTTGGCAATTGCACTAATTTTAGCTCAGTGCCTCTCTCTACAAGCCTTTGCAAATACAGGCTCTAGAAAGATCACTTTATTTTGCTTGCATACTCTCTGAAGGGCGTGCAGTGACCATTATAGCAAAGTGGACTTGGAGTGCCTAAGGTGGTAGGTCCAAATACCAGGATTTCCCTAGCTTTCCCTTAGGACTGATATTCAGAGGAAGGCCTTCTTCTGGCCCCAAATAAATCTTTACACAAAAATTAAAAGGTTTTCTTTATGGTGGTACTTCTTAGCCATGTGTACTTTGTGAATGATCAAGAAAGGGATTTATGGAAGCCTTCTCTAAGCTTAAATATGGAACATTTAGGAGCTGCTTTGTACCCAGGGCCCTGGGCTTTGAGCACAGTAGGAAGGTAAGAAGGGGTGATCCAGCTCAGGGCCTCTCCACCTCTTTGCTTGCTTTTTGTTTGTTTGTATGTTTGTTTCTTGCTTTTTGATGGAAGGTCTCTTGTCCTAAGGGTGTTGGACTTGAGCTAATGGGAAACCTTGAAGAGTTTTAAATTGAGGGGTAACAAATTTGCATTTTAGCTGTGATGGATGGATGGATGAAGGAGAGAAGACAGGGAATCCAATTAAGATCCTGCTGAATGCTGGCAATTCAGGCAAGCAATGATGATAGTTCAGGTACTAGAACAAGATATTTGTCTAAAAAGTGAGAAAAGTGCACATCCTGCAAGGCAAGGGACTCCAAAACATTTAAGAAGGAGGTAATAGAGTATCATATACTGAAGGAGGATCCAGAAATCTAGGAATCAGGAAATGTCCATGTCTTTTTAAAGGAGAGACATTTTTTAAGTGTCCTTTAGATGTAGGCACATGGTATAATCTTAAAGTGACAAATTTGGGCTGAGTTTGGCAGAGGTGGCAATCAGAAGTCGGAGTGGGTGCACCTCAGGAAGAGATGGCAATGGTGAAGGAACAGTCTGATGAGCACCTGAAGGGCATGTGTGCTAATCACGACTGTCCCTCCCAAGTGCCGAGACCATCCAAAATGTGGTTACTAAAAACACTGAAGGGAGGCAAGCAGATATTCGTCCCGAACACTGAGTTGGCCTAATTTCAGGGGCTTGCCCTGCAGGTTCAGGAAAGGATGGGGGTGGGACTTTTGTGAACTTGTGTGAAAAAAGAAGAATAAGTCCTGTCATGCACTGGGTCAGCTGTGGCAAGAATCCACTCTTGAGTGTAGTGCACCTGATTGCGTTTTCACTGCTTGCTCCAGGAGCAAGGAGGAGGTCCCAGAGGCCCAGCAACACCTGGGAAAGAGCAGGAGCCGGCCGAAGGGCCGTCAGGGGCCACCAGCTGAGTCTAGCACTGGGCCGATAGGTCTTCAGCTCTATTTTTCAAAGTGAAGGTACCCCTAGTGCTCCCAGCAATCTCCCGTCACAAAGAAAGCTCAGGTCACAGCCAGATCAGCTCAGGTCACAGCCAGATCAGCTCAGCTCCTACACCCCAGAGTGCTGTATGGAGTGATGTTGGATGAGTGGGGCTTGTCAGCAAACCTAACATTGCACAGCCCCCCCCCCCCCCCCCCCNGTTGGGAACACCCACTTGAGGAGGACAAGGCAACCCACTCCAGTATTCTTGCCTGGAGAATCCCAGGGAAAGAGGAGCCTGGAGGGCTACAGTCCATAATGGTGCAAAAGAGTTGGACATGACTGAAGCCACTTAACACGCACGGTCTTTCCTTTAAGTGGCTTCTAGATAAAATCTGTGGGCTTTCTCTTCATCTGGATGTCTGGTACCACAGGGTCCTTTTCTCTCACTCCCTGATTTCTGCTCTTCCTCCATTCCAGAACCCTGGCCATCAGTCTGACCAACTGCAAGTATGAGAGTGAAGCACCTAGCTCATCACTCAAATGACTGGGCATCAGAGGATACTTAGGGTTGCAGTTTTCACTCTGAAGACAGTTCTCGCAATTTGCTCCCAGCCCCTGGATCTCGTTCAGTTCAGTTCAGTCACTCAGTCGAGTCCGACTCTTTGTGACTCCATGGACTGCATCATGCCAGGCTTCCCTGTCACCAAGTGCTGGAGCTTACTCAAACTCGTGTCCGTCGAGTCAGTGATGCCATCCAACCATCTCATCCTCTGTCATCCCCTTCTCCTCCCGCCTTCAATCTTTCCCAGCATCAGGGTCTTTTTCAGTGAGTCAGTCCTTTAAATCAGGTGGCCAAAGTATTGGGAGTTTCAGCCTCAGGATCAGTCCTTCCAATGAATATTCAGGACTGATTTCCTTTAGGGTTAACTGGTTTGAGCTCCTTGCAGTCCAAGGGACTCGAAAGAGCCTTCTCCAACACTACAGTTCAAAAGCACCAATTCGTTAGGCTGACTTACAACTTGTCACCTCCGTCCTTCAAACCTTAGCCTAGATTTACTGCTAAATCTGGACTCTGGGTGCAGCCCGGGGCTAGAGGTCATCCAGGCGACAAGAAGTCCGTTTCCCAGAGGAGTCGAGTTCCCACAGCTCGGAGCTGTCGCCATCAGAGAACCGCTGAGGGGACGCCCTTCCTGTGACCGTGGCGGAGGCAGGCGGCCTGAGCAGCCCTTGGGGTAGACGGGCGGGAGGCTCTTAGCCAATGATCTCGTCTTAAAAATTTATCGCGTTTGGCAGGAGCGTCCTCTACCTCATTCCGGTTCCGGGAGTTGCAGGGTAAATACCCCCCCTCCCCCGCCCCGCCCTGTAGTTATTAGGGGAGGACTCGGCCACAGAGCGGTTTAAACCCAAAAGCCACGCCTTCAGCTTGAAGCCGGAAAGAACCGCGACCTCCCCCAGCTCTCGCCCACGCGTACTTCCGGTTCCGTCCCTGGCTTCCGGTGCTGCCACTCCGCGGGTCGTGAAGGGTTTTTTCTGTAAACATGGCGTTTTCCCTGAAGGTTTTCCTGGGCGGCCGTGTCTGCGCAGCTGTCGCTCGCTGTGGGTTTGCTACCCGGGGGGTGACCATCCCGGGCTCTATCAGCCGAGAACCGGATCCCGATTTCGACTGGGAACCGGAGGAGCGAGAACTGCAGGAGGTGGAGAGGTACCGGCTCCTTCCCGGGCCCTCAGCTTGAAGCAGGGCCTTGGTCTGGGCGCCCTTGTCCGCGCCCGGTTGGCGCTGGGCGTCCTGCAGCAGCCCTTCTCACCCGTTTTTAGGGGCACAGGGGCAGGTGTTAGATCCTTTGCGACCACAGGTCCTCACCAAGGACGTATTTCATCACCCGACTAAAGAACTCAGCAACAGCTTATGGTCTGTTGTTCTTGGTGTTAAGACTTCTGGGGCGGTGTTCTGGCTGGCCGACATGGCCAGGTAGTGTTTCCAAAGTGAAGTGCGCTGGATGCTCTGTGACTGACCCCCAGGCTCTTAAACCACCCGTCTAGCGTCTAGGCATGGTTTCTGCCATTGGTTCTCTTCCCCAGCGCCCTGAAGCGACAGAAAAAAGCCATTCGGTTCCAGAAAATTCGGAGGCAAATGGAGGCGTCAGGTGCCCCGCCCAGGACCCTGACGTGGGAAGCCATGGAGCAGATCCGGTAAGACTATTATGATTTTTGTTTTGAATACATAGTACATTACATATGTCTCAAAATTAAAGCAGTATAACGGCATATGTGTTGACAAGTGTTAACCCTCTTAGTCTCCTATGGATAGTATTTTTAATAGTTTTCTTGTGTCACTGTCTAGGTTTCCTTCTGCACATACAAGCAAGCTCATGTGAATGTAGAATTTTATTTTCACTTTCGTAGTCTCAAACAGAATTTATAAATAACTTTTCTACACTTTGTTCACTTAATATATTCCGAAGATCTTTCAACTTCCCAAGAGAGACCTCCTCTTTCTCTTTTGTAGATGCTTAGTAAATTGTAGTTTATATTACTGATCTTTTATGGTGGGCACTTGATTTGTTCCCACTCACTTACTGTAACAAATAGTGCTCCGGTGCATGACCTTGTGTACCCATCAATGTACATATCTGCCAGAAGCATTATGCACATTCTCAGAAGTAGGGTTGCTGAAGCCAAAGGTAAATGAATTTGCATTTTGGTAAATATTGCTAAATATTCTTCCAAAGGTTATGTTCCATTTTTCATTCTCACCAGAATAATTCTGGAGTTGAGACTTAGAATAAGGGGGTGTTATAGAGATGATAAAGATTTTATGAGCCTACAACACCTTTCTTCTATCAGCTTCCTCTCTTGTCTTGAATGCCAGCATTTTTAACCCTTCCATCTTCTTACCTGTCACCTCCCCTTTGGGGATCAGTAAATAATCTTTTTATTTCAGAGAAAAATCAGACCATTAGGTAAAAAGTTATTAAAGCTTCTTGGACTTCTTACCTTCTACTTTCAGTCTTGTACTCTAGTCATATCACTGGGGAAGTGGCAGTTCTTCACTTGTGTAGGACCGGTCCTCTGGGTGCTCTAGGTCAAATCCCTACCTAATTCCTCAGGTACCTTTTTCTGTCAACTTAAAGTTGTCCGTGTTGTATGCTGGGCCCAGTCTATCAATAACCAGTGCTGTGGCTGAACCAGCTGTTGTGTCTTAAGATTACAACATGCCCTTCAATGACCTCAACTTTGGCTGGGGGTGGGTGGAAGTTTATTACTTACAGGACCTGAAAATTACACAGCTCACCTGGGGCCACACAGCAAGGCCATGGCTAGAGAGAGTTGCAAGGGCCTGGAGTTCTACTTTTACTGGGGTTGAGCACTGGGGCCTGAGACTTTTTTTGGCGGTGGGTGGAGAGGGGTAGGGTTTTGAGGGCTTACTCTTTATTGGTGAATTCAGTGGGAATTTAAAGCACAGGAAGAGAAACGGCAAGTGGCCCACGTGATTAGTTATTGAAGTCAACCATGATCTCTGAAACAAAGGTGCCTCAGTGGGGTGGCTGGAGCCCAGCTTTTTATCTAGTTGTGTGGCTGGCAGTGTGTTTATTGAAGACAGCCATCTTCAAAGTGCAAGCCTTGGCAAGCAAAGCTTAAGTCAGTCACTTGGATTACAAAAAAAAAAGGGAACCCCACTTTTCAGTTTTCTCTTCATTCCCTCCTCCTTTAGTTCCCTCCTGGCTCCCTGCTCTCATTTTTGTTTATTTCATCATGACAATGAAACTGCTCACAAATATACCAGTGACTTCGTCAGTGCTAGGCATAACTGACTCTCAACACTTTAGCTTGTCTAATACTTCTCAGCATTTGACCTTGTCTGCATTCTTGAAATTCTCCCTTGACCCTTACAGGTTATTGTTCATTAATATACACATTATAGTTCAAGGAATCTAATTGATGACTGCACCCTGTTTCACTATCACTGGATTGAGCTTCAAAATGAAAATTTGCTCATGTGCTTTAAATTCTTTGTTCACTGTTGCTCTGAGATAAACTCCAAAATCCCTAAGCAAGACATGGTCTTGCTCCTTCCCCCACTGTCACACGGCTAGAACTCTTCCCAACAAAGGTGATGTGCTGCTTTGTATTTCACCTGCTGCCTGCTCTACCATCAGTTCCTTTGACCCCCTGTTCTTCTCCTCTCCTCTCCTCTCACAGCTTGTTACAACTGCTCATGTTTTCAGACCAGCTCTAGGATGGACTTCCTGAAGAATTCTTACGCTGCCCCACAGGTGTGGTGCTAGCCTGTCCCTGCCTCTCCCTTCCTGGTTCTCTCATAGCATCCTCTGCTGAGATCCTTCTCATAGTGTTCCTGGTTTTGCTGGGTGTTAATACATTTGTCTCCACCACCAGATTGTATGTTTTGGTTTTTTTTTTTAATGAATGTCTATTTAGGGATAGGCCCTTGGCTGGATATTTATTATACAATCAATAATCAATTTATTAATAGCCAATTTAATAATCAACTTATTCAATCAACACAGCAGTCTTTTTTGTTGTTTTTTTGCTGCATAGTGGGGCATGCAGGATCTTACTTCCCCTAACCAGGGATCAAACCTTCCTGCATTGGGTCTTCCAGCTCCCTGCATTGGAGGCACGGAGTCTTCATCACTGCACTGTCAGGCATGTCTGGGTTGTATATTGGGGAAAGACTGTCTTGCATCCCCTGGATCTTACTGGGGCCTGTCATGCAGTGAGAGAAATCCAGTTGACATTAAATGACTAAAAGTAGTTGCTTGTTGCTGTAAGCACAGAAGAATTGGCTGTAGACATTTAGTGGTGCAAGACAGAGACTGTGTTTGCAGTTTTTCCAAGCCTCCTTCTTTTCATGTTATGTATCACTAGTGTTACATAACCTGTTAACTGTTCTGATAGGAGATGTCTTAACAGATGGAAAATCTGCTTCTTTTTTTCATAGGTATTTACACAGGGAATTTGCAGAGTCTTGGTCAGTTCCCAGATTGGCTGAAGGCTTTGATGTCAGCATCGATGTGATCCGAAGGGTTTTAAAAAGCAAATTTGTACCCACACTGGAACAGAAACTAAAGCAGGATCAGAAAGTCCTTAAGAAAATCGGACTTGCTCGTTTGCTCCCGGAGCTCCCAGGCCCTGGAGATTCCTCCAAACTGCTTTCTGTAGACCCGTCTGTATCAGGTTCTTTTCTGATGCCTGGAGATGAAGCCTCATCCAAAGGCGATGGTCACAGCACAGCTTTGAAAGCGATTGAATTGAACACTCAGAGTACAAATATACCAACGAGACAGACGGAAAGGAATAAAGGAGTCCAGGAGGAGGGGAAGAACTTTGTGCCTGTTGCTGCAGGTCACCCTACCGGCACTTGTAGGGGCGCCAGAGGAATTGACAGTGATGGATTACCCAGTGACAAGAAGCTGGAAGAGCTGAAGGCAGGTGACCAGATCTTCAGCAACAGAGTCATGCAGAGGGGACGAGAGTTCTTTGACAGTAATGGGAACTTCCTGTACAGAATCTGAGTCGGGATGTGCCACGTGTGACACACAGCTGGGCAAGTGTATTTGGTTCTGCCTGGGTTTCTGTGTACAGATTTCCACCTTGGAAGTGAGGGGGAACGATGAGCCTGGAATGTGGGATGAAAGGTTTGAATCTGACAAAGGTCAGAGGACTTCACAGGGCAGATGTGTCTGGGAGCAGAGCAGTGACCCCCCAGGCAGAGTCCAGCCTCCTGGAGCACAGCCCCTGCTCTGACCCATTTCCATCTGCAGATTTCACCCTTCTCCTCGGGCTGTCTGTGTGTTGAAAGACCTGTATTGCATGTGTTGTTACAAGTTTCTGTGATACTTGCAGTATATTTGGGAGGAGATTGTTTGTCTTCTCACCTCATTTACTTCTTGATTAATGAACACAGTTCTGGAACTGCTTAGTCAATTGGTTGTCCTCATTAAATGCAAAATAAAGCAAAATGAAGCAGTCTGTTTCAATTGGTGCTCTGTGGGATTGGGAGGGTTTGTTTACCTGGGAAGGGAAGGGAAGAAAAACAGAGCCCCTAAATGTTGGGAGAGAAATGTGACCAGAGGTATCGCCAGCAAAGGGCTCTGTGCTGATCAGCCCTGCTTAGTTACAGACTTTGACACTTAAAAACTGGACATTAGGCCTCCCCTAAACACCCAGTCTAAAGTCGCTCTTTTAGTTGCTGGGGCCCTGAAGAAGATGGGGGGTGGGGGGGGAGTCTGTCCAAACACAAAAAATACAGGGCAGGCATAGGCTTTACAGGCTCTCGACATAATCTCCAGCCACTTCCAAAAGCTTAAGTAGAATCTTACTTTACAGTTTTGTCAGATTTTTACAAGGCTCTTGTGATCTAGACAAGAACAGATAATAGATCACTTTTACAAATTGGGTATCAAGGGGTTTTGGATATACCCACAGCCATGTAGCTGTGAGTGAGTGGCAGCACAGCACTGGGACTTGAACCCAGGTCTCTTAAATCTTAAATTCCTGGAATCCAGCATTGCCTGGCATAATTTCTGTTAATTCACTGATTCTTTTAGAAATATTTGATGAACATAATCACTAGAAAGTGATTATCAAAGGACAAATAGAGACATATTCAGGCAACATAAAAGTCCAGTGATCATTCTCAACAATGTTTCGCTTTAACAATTTACCAGCAAAAATAGGCTAGTCAGAATTTAACTATATGCAGAATGTTTTTCTAATGGAGACGTAGATATCCCAATCCTGTCATTGATAGTCTGTTCATGTATCTTGTTGCTGTTTCAGATGTCATTAATAGCAATTATTATATCACTGATTGCTGTTAACTGGAGCATTAGCTCGGTATAAGTGGGCAAGGCCCTATCACATGCCAGTCAAAGTTAGGGAATCCAGGTTTTGGTAAAGAGCAGTGGGCACACAAGGCCCTTGTCACTGCTCTGTCACTTTCAAGTAATTTACAAACAAGTATTTTTATGATTTTAAAAATAATTTGCCATGAGAACCTTCTAGCAGCAAGATGCTATTTGATTGCTTAAACAGGCATTTCTAACTCCTGCACATCATTTGACTATGCCCTTTCCCCAGGGGATTATGAAAACAATAGAAGCTTTTATTACTAGTTTAGATATGTTTTCCATTTACCTCATCCCCTAGCATCCTAATGCTCACTAGCTTAAATCTTTTGTTCTCCATTGTAAATGCTAATATTAGGCTTTTGCACTTACTAGTTCGTTGTCACCAGATTTTCATTTGGCTAGGTCCTTACCATTGAGGTCTCAGGTCAAATGTTACTTTCATAGGTCTTCCCTAATCACTCTGCTGCTGCTGCTGCTAAGTCGCTTCAGTCGTGTCCGACTCTGTTCGACCCCATAGATAGCAGCCCACCAGGCTCCCCCGTCCCTGGGATTCTCCAGGCAAGAATACTGGAGTGGGTTGCCATTTCCTTCTCCACTAATCACCCTAGTCCTGTTTAATTTTCCCCAGTATTTGAAATGTATTAGTAATGTATTGGAGAAAGCAATTGCTACCCACTCTAGTACCCTTGCCTGGAAAATCCCATGGACAGAGGAGCCTGGTAGGCTACAGTCCATGGGGTCGTGAAAAGTTGGACACGACTGAGCGACTTCACTTTCACTTTTCACTTTCATGCATTGGAGAAGGAAATGGCAACCCACTCCAGTCTTCTTGCCTGGAGAATCCCAGGGACAGAGGAACCTGGTGGGCTGCCGTCTATGGGGTCACATAGAGTTGGACACAGCTGATGTGATTTAGCAGCAGCAGCAGCAATGTATTATTTGTCATCACCTTCCTTGCCCCATTCCCATAAGGGCAGGAGACCTGTCTGTGTTCATTGCTGTAGTTCCAACCCGAGGTGGATTTTTTTTTCTTGCTGAGTGGCAAGTGGTATTTTAGTTCTATGACCAGGGACTGAACTCATGTCCCCTCCAGTGGAAACACGGAGTCCTAACCATGTACCTCCAGGGAATTCCCCCTAACAAAGATTTCAGAATTGGATGAGTGAATGAAAACTGGCTGGGAAACAGGTGTGTACTCAGTTGATTCAGTGTCCAACTCTGTGACCCTGGGGGCTGTAGCCCACCAGGCTCTTCTGTCCGTGGGGACTCTTCAGGCAAGAATACTGGAGTGGGTTGCCATGCCCTCCTCCAGGGGATCTTCCCAACCCAGGGATCCAACCCAAGCCTCTTAGATCTCCTGCATTGGCAGGTGGGTTCTTTACCACTAGCCTCACCTGGGAAACCCAATCCATCAGTCAATCCACAATGGCAGAAAGTCCAGCCTTTTACCTTTGCCTGTTAAGAAGGCCTACATTTCCTACCGGTCGACCCATCCCTGCTCTATACGGTCAGAGTCTCGGATCTTCACCCACTGGCACTGAGGTGTTTGGGGATACTGTCGTCCTCTCCTCCCTGGTCCCCCACTGCCCCAGCCCAAGCTGGGAGGCTGGACAGGGGGATGGGGATTCCTTGGGCATGGGTCAGAGGACTCCATGGTGCCCTCTCCCCAGTCAGTCCTAGTTCTGGACACAAAGGACTTTCACATCACATTGGATGAGGGGGAGCTGCATGAGGCGGCACAGGTGCCTCCACGGAGGCAACAGAAGACAAGATCCCCAAACTGGAGTGAAAGAGACTGTGGGCGGAGTGGGCAACTCAGAGCAACTTGGGCCAGATTTAAGAGGCTAGCAAACATGATAGAAGGGACTAAAGTCCCTGTGACCTGGAGGGTGTATATATCACTCATCTGTGAAGGGCAGCTTCTTCCTTTCTGTGCAGCTGAGATTTGCTCTAACTAAAGGTGAGGGGTGAGAGGAAGCTCAGTAAAAAACACTCAATGAGCATAAAAGTTTTGTGCTGTCCTGTTTTTAAAGTTTTCAAATATTTGAAAGTAGAATATTGTTATGCAACAAACCCCTGTGTACCCATCACCCAGCTTCAGCATTTAGCAAATGGCCAAACTTTCTTTGTTAATATGCATATTGCAACTAGAGTTTCCACATGCCACAGCTAAAGATCCTGCATGCCTCATCAAAGGTCAGAGACCCCACATGCTGCAACTAAGAGCCGGTGCAACCAAATAAATAAAAATAAATATTAAAAACAGTAAATTTGAGACATCAAATTATTTCATCTGTAAGTACTTCAGTATGTGTCTCAGAGATAGGAACTCCATTTTAACACAAGATATATGAACCATTTCTGTACCTTGAAAGTTTTAGTAATTCCTTATTATCAGCTAATATCCTGATAATATTCTGGTTGATTTCTTTGAATTAGGATCCACACAAAGTCCACACATTGCAATATTGCATTGTGTCATGTCCCAGAAGTCTGATTTTAAAGTGATTTCCCCTTCCACTTTCTTCTCTTTGTCATTTGACAGGTTATTTGACCCATAAAATTTTGTGCATTTTGGATATGCTTGATTTTATCCTTATGATGTCTTTTATCATGTTTCCACTACCTTCTGTATTTCCTATGAACTGGCAGTTAGATCTTGAGGCTTGATCAGGTTCAATTTGTACTTCCTATGCATCTCACCAGGAGATGAGTTTGTGATGTCACGATTGATTAGTGAGTTCAGGTATTGTCAGCCAGACCTGTCCATTATAATGTCTCTCATAAGCTTTTTAAAAACAAAAACCCCAAACAAGGTAGGTATAGATTTTTATCATCACCCCTGAAATTCCCTAATCTGCCCCAATTCAATTACTTTTCTGAAATTTTCACTATAGTTTTTCCTGTTCAAGAACTTGTTGTAAATAGTATAGAAGCCATTTTTGTATCTGGCTTCTTTCATTTATTCACTTATTTTTATTGTATGAATATGTCACAGTTTATCCGTTTTCCCACGAAAAGCATTAATGAGTCAGAACTCTGATACTGAAAGGTCACAGCGGTGAGACTCAGCTTCCATTGGCTCCTAACGCGTTCTTCTCTCCCTTCACACCCGCCTCCATCTCGGGCGTCTAGCCTCAGGCAGGTCAGAAGCTGGAAGCTCAAAGCTCGCCGCTAACTTTGTGGAGCAGATGTGATCGACAGCCAAGATCCCTGGTGATCAGGGCCCTCCGGATTCCAAGTTGGTTTCGTCCATTTCACGAAGTTCTGAAAATGGAGCAAGTGCCCAACGTTTCCTTGCGTGAGTTAGGAGAATTGGGTATACCCTTCAAAGTTAGTTTAAGGTAAAATCGTTTTATCACAGGAACACTCGCCTCTGGTCCGGGAAGAAACTGGAACGTTGACGCGTTACCGCGCGTTTTCAAATGTCCCTTCCAGGACGCCGTCCTTTTCCGGGTACCCTGAGTGGTGCTCGAGAGTGCGGGACTTCCGGGAGGTCTAGGAAGCCGCCCCTCTCTTTGGTATCTCTGCAGGTGTAGACCAGAATCCTGCGGACGGGCGAAGTGGACCGGGAGGGGCGGGGCGGGATACAGTGGCTGCTGGCCTGAAGCAAGGTCCCTTTGGCTGCAGCTGTCTGGCCGAGAGGTGGCCGGCCATTCATTCCTCCAGTGTGGCTGACGAGCGAGGGCCCCTTGGGGGGTCTCTTTCGGGTTCTGTGCCCTTACCTGAAGGAGAGCCATCCTGCACTTACCCGGGCCGCTGCCGGCCACCTCGGAGCGGAGGGCGTCCCCCTTCTTCCACCCTGTGGCTCAGGTGACCGCCGCCATGGCTTTTCCCCATCGACCGGACGCCCCAGAGCTGCCTGACTTCTCCATGCTCAAGAGGCTGGCCCGAGACCAACTCATCTACCTGCTGGAGCAGGTCAGTGCCCGCCATGTCGGGGGCCTTTACTGCATCAGCAGTTTAGCACTCATTGGATGCCTAGTTCTTTCTTACTGAGTTCCCTTGAGCTTGCCTTGGTCCTTGGAGCTTCTGTGGCAGATCCAAAATGAAGCACTCACGGAGAAAAATCAGAGAGCAGTAAGAGCTTCTTGGGACGACCTGGCCAGAGTTATTGGAAATCCTTTTTTTTTTTTTTTTAATACGGGCCAGGGAGACACCACTAGTGTCAGGCATCACTGGGGATGGAAACAGGGTTAAAACAACTTTGTCCTTAGGGATCTTACTTCCTGATCTATTCATAGCATTACTGGGAGCCATATGAAATACAAATTACCATACATAGGGTATCCTGTGGTAAATGAGTGACAGCTAGGGTGCATGAAACAGTCATTTCTAGCTGGAGTAATTTAGGAGTTTCGAGGACTGGAGTGTGAAGATAATCATACTTTCCTTGGAGATGGAAGAGGGTATTCCAGGCAGATGTACTGGTGGGAGCAAAGTTGAAGACCCAGGAAAGGACAAGGCATGTAATACATGGAAGAGAGGGATGAAAAATTACACAGTAGGCATTAAGTAGCTACTGAAGGTTTATCCCCGATCCCTGTGAATGTTTCAGTCTTGTTTCCCACCATTCCCCGACATCCAAGATTTCTCAACCTTGGCGACACTGACATTTTGGGCTGGTTAATTCTTTGTGGTGGGATTGTCCTGTGCATTGTAGGATATTTAGCAGCATCCCTAACCTCTACCAGTAACACCAGATGTCAGTAACACCCCTTGGCCCAAGGTGGGACAACCTAAATGTCTCCAGACTTTGCCAGATAGCCCCTGAAGTGCAAAATCAGTCCTGGTTGAGGACCACTGCCTACATGCACCTTACCCATCAGACAAACTGAACTGCCCTCACCATTCAGCCTGTTAGCTTTCCCTGGCCTTGGCTGAACTGTCATCTTGATCTGTCACTGCCTACAGCCTACCCATCTGTCAAAGTCATGTTGACAGGAAGCTTTCAATGACTTCACCCTCTCTTCTGCTAAGTGTGACCTCTCCTTCCTCTGGACAAATGAGAGAGCAGCATCGGGAATGGTGAAGCAGGAAGTGGGTGGGAGGATGAGGACTGTCCTGGGTTAAGTTTTCTGCCTTGAACATTGGTTCTTTTTGTAATTAGAAGTAAAATGCCATTTGAAGAGATATTTGGCAGTTAGTTGTGGGGTTGCAGGATACACAGTGCAGTTTTGTTTTGCTTGGCTTCGTTCAGCAGGAGATCAGTTGGTTTATCAGGAGGTGTAGAGGAGGAGGCAGTGGAACAGAGGAGCAGTGATATAGAACAGGGTCACAGGCGAGCAGGAGGGTTGAGTGACAAGGATGTGACCTTAGAAAGAAGGTGAGGGACTTCCCAGGCAGTCCAGTGGTTAAGACTCTGAGCTTCAGTGCAGGGGGCATGGATTGGATCCCTGAGCAGGGAACTAGGATCCCACATGCTGCGTGGCCATAAAAAAAGATGAAATACCTTTCCACTAGAACCAATAATGAATAGAAGACAAAAAATAGGTGAATATGTAGAGAAATGTCAACTGTGGATATAGACAATAAATAAGATGCTGGGTTAGGTGAGGTCTAGTGCCTTTCCAAAGAACTCAGAGTTTGTTTTTTTTTTTTTTTTAATAATTTTCTTTATTGGCTTGTGGCTGTGCTGGGTCTTTGTTGCTGCTCCTGGGGCTTTCTCTAGTTGTGGCAAGCGGGGACTCCTCTTGGTTGCAGTGCATGGGCTTCTCATCGTGGTGACTTTTTTTGTTGCAAATCATGGGCTCTAAGGCATGCAGGCTTCAGTAGTTGTGGCACACGGGCTTAGTTGTTCCATGACATGTGGAATCTTCTTGAACCAGGAATCAAACTCATGTAGCCTGCATGGGCAGGTGGATTCCTATCCACTGTGCCACCAGGAAGTCCCCAGCTCAGAGACTTCTATTAAATGGATGACTGAGGGGCATGTGTGACCTGAGAGTGAGCCAAGATACTGTGTCTCCTTCAGCTTCCAGGAAAGAAAGACTTGTTCATTGAGGCAGATCTCATGAGCCCTTTGGATCGAATCGCCAATGTCTCCATCCTAAAGGTACCTTGCTCCCTTTCCCAGGTGGATCAGGCCCCTCTTTCCTCATTAAGCAGTTTTTCTTTTGATGAATAATACAAATTACTGAGGAGTGACTACCCTTCTAGGGTAACTATAGGATGGCAGAGTTGAGTGGACTGGAGCGGGGGGGCGGGGTGGGGGGGGAAATGATCCTCTTCGTATTGTTTTTAAATTATTTAAATTGTTGATTTTTCTACTGACAGTTTAAGGAAGGTTCAGTGGAATGGTTGTTAGGGAGGCCTTTTGACTCCTAGAGTTATAGAACCAATAATGAATAGAAGACAAAAAATAGGTGAATATGTAGAGAAATGTCAACTGTGGATATAGACAATAAATAAGATGCTGGGTTAGGTGAGGTCTAGTGCCTTTCCAAAGAACTCAGAGTTTGTTTTTTTTTTTTTTTAATAATTTTCTTTATTGGCTTGTGGCTGTGCTGGGTCTTTGTTGCTGCTCCTGGGGCTTTCTCTAGTTGTGGCAAGCGGGGACTCCTCTTGGTTGCAGTGCATGGGCTTCTCATCGTGGTGACTTTTTTTGTTGCAAATCATGGGCTCTAAGGCATGCAGGCTTCAGTAGTTGTGGCACACGGGCTTAGTTGTTCCATGGCATGTGGAATCTTCTTGAACCAGGAATCAAACTCATGTAGCCTGCATGGGCAGGTGGATTCCTATCCACTGTGCCACCAGGAAGTCCCCAGCTCAGAGACTTCTATTAAATGGATGACTGAGGGGCATGTGTGACCTGAGAGTGAGCCAAGATACTGTGTCTCCTTCAGCTTCCAGGAAAGAAAGACTTGTTCATTGAGGCAGATCTCATGAGCCCTTTGGATCGAATCGCCAATGTCTCCATCCTAAAGGTACCTTGCTCCCTTTCCCAGGTGGATCAGGCCCCTCTTTCCTCATTAAGCAGTTTTTCTTTTGATGAATAATACAAATTACTGAGGAGTGACTACCCTTCTAGGGTAACTATAGGATGGCAGAGTTGAGTGGACTGGAGCGGGGGGGCGGGGTGGGGGGGGAAATGATCCTCTTCGTATTGTTTTTAAATTATTTAAATTGTTGATTTTTCTACTGACAGTTTAAGGAAGGTTCAGTGGAATGGTTGTTAGGGAGGCCTTTTGACTCCTAGAGTTAGTGTAAATAGGAGGAAGCCCTTTCAGAAGCCCCCTGTCTTTGCATCAGGCTTCAGGTTCCCAGGCACACTTACTTCCGTTGTCTCCTTTGATCCCTGTCTGTAGCAGCACGAAGTAGACAAGCTGTACAAAGTGGAGAAGAAGCCGGCTTTCAGCTCCAGTGAACAGTGAGTCCGGGAGCCTTGGGCTCTGCTCCGGGCTGGAGGGGGGCCCTGCGTGTGTGCCTTTGATCCGTCCTGGGCTGAGATCTACCCCATGACGTTTGTGATAGCAAAACATTCACTTCCCTGCACTTTTACAGTTTCATCCCTAGTTATGCTTTAGCCTTCTAATTGGTCTCCTTGTCTGCAGTTTCTCCCTCCCTGGTCCTCTTCTCTCTCTAACCCAATCTACCAGTTCTAACCACATTGATTGAAAAGAAAGTGAAAAAGTTGCTCAGTCATGTCCGACTCTTTGCAACCCCATGGACTGTACGGTCCTTGGAATTCTCCAGGCCAGAATACTGGAGTGGGTATCTTCCCAACCCAGGGATTGAACCCAGGTCTCCTGCATTGCAGGTGAATTCTTTACCAGCTGAGCCACAAGGGAAGCCCAAGAATACTGGAGTGGGTAACCTATCCTTTCTCCAGAGGATCTTCCCGACCCAGGAGTTGAACCAGGGTCTCCTGCATTGCAGGCGGATTCTTTATCAACTGAGCTATCAGGGACGCACCCTCCTACCACATTGATTAGTCTTTCACAAATAATTTCCTTGTGATCTCCAGAACCTTCAAGCCTTCCCTTACTTACCCACTAAGGTCTGCATTGCTCATCATAGATTCCAAAGCTGTCTCCCAGAAGGCCTTTCACCTTCTTTCCAGCCTGGCCTCTTGCACATCCCCTCTTACCTGATGCACTTTCACGTGTTTCCCCGCTCTATGCACAAACCTCCTCGCCGTTCTCGTGACAGACACCTAGCCTCAGAGCCTAGCCCCGCCTCCTCCACAGAGCCACGCCAGGGTCGCCACCCTGGGGTGATTGTCTCCTCCCCTGGATTTGCATGGAGCTCAGTGTTTGTCCTGTTCACCTGGCACTCAGTCACATGCTGCCTGGCATTTGTCTGGCGTTTGTTTTTATTTTCAATATTTCTCAATTTAAGTCACGTACACCCTCAGAGGAAAAACCCCCCCTAGATACATGGAGAAAAACATTATGTCATATACTTCCTCTTATTATTTTTGAATACTTGTTAATGTACTCCATGCATAGGTGTGTCTTATTTTGCCCAATAAACTGTAAATTATTTGAGAGCAGAAACTTCTGGGTCCACCATAAGGCCAATAAGTACCCCCAGCTCATCACAATATACCTGCTTTATGATTTTTAATTGGAGGATAATTGCTTTACAATGTTGTTTTGGTTTCTGCCGTACAACAGCGTGAATCAGCCTCAAGTATACCTATGTCCCCTCCCTCTTGAACCTCCCTCCTGTCCCCTACCCCATCCCACCCCTCTGGGTTGTCACAGATCACCGGACTGAGCTCCCTGTGTTATTCAGCAGCTTCCTACTAGCTATCTTTTACATGTGGTAGTGGATATATTTCGATGCTCCTCTCTCAGCTTTTCCTACCGTCTCCTTCCCCTGCGATGGCCACAAGTCTGTTCTCTACCTCTGCATCTCTGTTCCTGCCCTGCAAATGGGTTCTTCTGTACCTATACCTGCTTTACTGAGGGGAGTCTTCTGTGGTGAGTCAGCCAAGAAAGCTGGCATGGCTTTGGCCGGGGTGAGAACTGTAGCACATGGTGGAAGAGTTGGCATTACTATCACCAACTTCATGATTTTTCTTCACTAGGAATTTTTCCCCCTTCTCTCCCATAGGTTGTGCTTCCTGGTCAGACCTCGCATCAAGAATATGCGGTACATTGCCAGTGAGTGTGTCACAGCGTTCGCTGTCACTAAGGCCCGGGGGAGGGTGGGAACGTCTGGGGGCCACGGCCATAAGAACAGAATTGTTCGTGTTGGCCATGCCCCTCATCGAGGCTCTTCACTTCCTTGCTTCTAGTCTAACATAAGGCCCATGGCTTTCTGCGCTGCATCCTTTCTGTCTGTAGGTCTCGTCAATGCTGACAAAGTGGCTGGCCGAACTCGGAAATACAAAGTGATCTTCAGTCCTCAGAAGGTGAGTTTGGACCCATGTGGGAGTGAGATAAGGTAGAAGAGCGTGGGAGACTGGGACGGGGTAAGGGACCAACAGCTGTATCTCCTTCTAAGCGAATTCTGTGTGACTGAACAAAATACCTGCCATTGTCTTTTTATTAATGTAGCAGAGAGTCTCCTATCAAATTACCCCAAATACAGATTGTACAGTGGTGAGAGGTGGCCTCTACATGTGAGTGTGTGTATGCTTGGTCGTGTCTGACTCTCTGTGCGCCCATGGACTGTAGCCCTCCAGGCTCCTCTGACCATGGCATTCTCCAAGCGAGAATACTAGAGTGGGTTGCCATGCCTTCCTCCAGGGGATCTTCCCGACCCAGGGATCGAACTTGAATCTCCTATGTCTTTTGCATTTCAGGTGGATTCTTTTACCACTGTGCCACCTAGGAAGCTATCCTGTTTAGGAATATAAATATATGAGATATAACATTATTACTAGGGCAAGAAAATTATTGAGTAAAATAACCAATCAGGATTACAGGTTACTTTTTAATGGTATTGGAGAAGACTCTTGAGAGTCCCTTGGACTGCAAGGAGATCCAACCAGTCCATCCTAAAGGAGATAAGTCCTGGGTGTTCATTGGAAGGACTGATGCTGAAGCTGAAACTCCAATACTTTGGCCACCTCATGCGAAGAGTTGACTCATTGGAAAAGACCCTGATGCTGGGAGGGATTGGGGGCAGGAGGAGAAGGGGATGACAGAGGATGAGATGGCTGAATGGCATCACCAACTCGATGGGCATGAGTTTGAGTAAACTCTGGGAGTTGGTGATGGACAGGGAGGCCTGGTGTGCTGTGATTCATGGGGTCGCAAAGAGTTGGACACGATTGAGTGACTGAACTGAACTGAAAGGAGCTATAGCAGTAATTTCTAGTTTTTGGAGTCTTGCAGAACCCTTTTTTTCCAGTTATACTTCCAAGGACAGATTTGTTTAGATAGGGAAGAGAACAGGTTGGTAACAGTTTCAAATAATGCTGCAAGCCTCCATAACACACAGAAAAACAAAACTGAGATTTTAATGAATTTTTTTCTTTCTAACACCCTATCTAAGCAAATTCTTTGACCTGATTTTCCATCACAGGACCGTCTCTTCTTTAGTGGCTTTAAGGGAAGAGGAGATCTCTTTCTTCCTGAGCTCCCTCTGTTAATTATGAAGATTGACAGTTTTCCAAGTGGGCAAAGGAATCTCATTAGTTAGAATTAAAAATAGGCCTACAGGATTTCAGTTTTTATTTATTTGGCTGGGCAGGGTCTTGGTTGTGGCATGCTGCATCTTTAATTGATGCATATGGGATCTAGATCCTTGACCAGGGATCGAACCTGGGCTCCCTGCATTGGGAGCCTGACAGAGACATCACTGGATTTGACCACAGAGATCTAGGGCATCTAGATTAAAAAGATGAAGGTGGATGTGAGGAAGCAGAAGCAGTGGTAGCAGATAATTCTTCACAAACCCAGTGATGTCTGTGTCGGGCTCTTCTACCTAACATCTCTGGCGTTGGATACGGCTGCCCATTCTTCCTTAAACCTCTGCCTTTAGAGGTGCTATTTAGAGGCGCTCGTTTCTCTGTTCCTGCCTCTGTGTATTCTTTCTTAACCTTCTCTGGAAGGTCTTGGACTGTACACTCTTAATTTTGGTTCCCTAGAGTCCTGTCCTTAGCTCTCTTCTCTGTGTTCTTTTGAATAAACTACATTAAATGTAATGTAGGTGCCATGAACCCCAAGGCTGTCTGTCCAGACCTCCCCCAGGTGTCTGCAGAGGTCTCATGGACATGTCCTAACCAGAGCTCCATCCCTCCCCTCTCCGCCCCACTGCTCTTGACCTCCACCTGCTCCTCTTCCTCTGTTTCTGTAGCACTGTCACGCCCTGCTTCCAAGCTCTACCTGCCGGACTCACCCTTCCATGACAGCTGAATACCCTCTCCTTCGTAAAGCTTTTCTAGTCAATCAGGAAGAAAAGAGCAATTGACTTAATAAATAGATAAAATGGATGGAAAGGAAACATAGTGTTAGGCCAGATGATTCCAGTGGTCCGTTCTAGCTCTAAGAGTCTGGGTTCTCTTGTCTTTTTCCCTGGATTCAGTAACTGTGGTCATCATCAGTGACCACAGAGGAATCCAGAGAAGTGGAAAGAACAGAGAAGGGGGTTACTAACCAGCTTCCCTTGGTCTTTCAGTTTTACGCATGTGAGATGGTGCTTGAGGAAGAGGGCGTCTATGGAGGTGAGAGGAGACGGGTGTGAGTGGAAAGGGGGAGGATGTGTGGGAGCAGGCCCTGAGGGTTGTCCCCCTGCCGTATCTCCTCCTTTTCACTCTCTGTCTCATTCCTGTTGGCCTGGCAGGAGGAGAGTGTCCTTAGAGTGCGAAGAAGGACCCCAGGTTAGGCCACTAGTGGGAGAGTAAGGAAGGGGTCCTGGGGATGTAGTTGGAAACCACCCGTGCTCTCTTCTTCCCTCCCAAGACCCCCACAAGGAAACAGTGTGCCTTCCCTCCTCGTGTGCAACACAGACCTGGTCCCCAGTCCTTCCTGCTGGAAATCCTGCTCAGAATACAGCCCAGAACCCTCAGTGTGGCCTCCTGCACCTCCGTGGTCTGGCCCCTTCCTGCCCTTTAGACTCATGTGTGCTCTGCTCTCCTGAGTCACCACCCTCCAGCCATGGGGACTTCACACATCTGTTCCCCTTGCCTAAAATATTCCTCACCCTGCAGCTTGCCTGCCTGAATCACACTCGAATTCTAGGCCTAAATGTCACTTCTTCAGGGAAGTCTTTCCTGTATCCCCAGTTGCGGTTAGATCCGTGAGCTGTTTGTGCTCTTAGGTTGCTGTTTCTTCTTTGGAGCCTGCAACTGGAGTCCCGTTTGTCTGCTGTGCACCCTCCCACTTCACTGTAAGCTCCAGAAGTCAGGAGCGTGTCCCCAGTAGCCTAGTGCCTGTACATACACAGCTTTAAGTCAGTACTGTCAGATGATGCATAGATGAGTAAATGTTTCATCGGCATTTTTGGTCAGCACTCTAATGGAAACACACCACTTACCACATTGTATTACAGGCTGTCACAAACACACGTCCTCTCCTTATCAGCCTGTGAGCCCCTTCCGGGCAGAGACTGTATCTTACTCATCTCTGAGCATCCCGTGCTGAGTGTGGTACCTGAGGCAGTGGGGCAGGCCCTCGGGAAGTCTTGCATGACTGCGGTGGACCTTCCCTCTTCATGTGGAGCCATGTGTCTTAGGCAGGAAGGCTGACACTCTCTGTACCCACAGATGTGAGCTGTGACGAATGGGCCTTCTCTCTCTTGCCTCTTGATGTGGATCTGTTGAGCATGGAACTACCAGAGTTTTTCAGGGACTACTTCTTGGTGAGTGCAAGGCACTTGGGTCTTGACATCAAGGAGTGGGGACAAACATGGGGTCCTGTGGGCTCTGGATTCAACCTTCTTCCAGCTCATCTCATGTATCACAAGTGATACTGATTTGGAGGTGGAATGCTGCTGACTGATATTCATGAGGCTTCCTTTGGGGCCAATGAAAATGAACCCTCTGGGCATTGCCAAAACCCTGCCCTTCTGCTCTGGGGCTTCTAGGCCTTGCCCCTTTCCAGATGAATCTGTCAGGTTGATCTATAGCTTTGTGGCCCACGTGGTCCCTTCAGGAAGGAGATCAGCGTTGGATCAACACTCTGGCACAAGCTTTGCACCTCCTCAGCACCCTCTATGGACCCTTCCCCAACTGCTATGGAATTGGCAGATGTGCCAAGGTGAGCAGTTATGTTGCCCAGATAGCCCATTTTTCACCCATTTTCTGCCCACTAAGGATTATTTGAGGGCATCTGTGATGTGATGTAGAGGCTTTTGTTGCTCCAGAAGAGGTCCCCAGAGCAGAGAACTCATGTGGCTAACAGAACAGCAGGATACCCCTGGGTGGCATTCCTAAATATTTGAGGGCAACGAGACTCCTTCATTGCTCTGGGGAAGGATGGGGAGGGATGGGAGCAGATGGAGTAGAAGAGGTAATCATGTTATAATGAGCTCTTCCTTGGGGTCAAGGAGAAGGATTGCATGGAATGGGTTGGGTTCTGTAGGTGTGGGGCTGCAGAAGGGACCTGGACTCAAGACTGAGGACGTGTTGGGCCCTAGCAGATGTCGTATGAACTGTGGAAGAGACTGGAAGAGGAGGAGGATGGTGAAACCAAGGGCCGAAGGCCAGAAATTGGACATATCTTTCTCTTGGACAGAGGTGAGCTGTGCTCAGCACTCCTCTCTTCCGTGCACCTGAGAAGACACAGGAATATTACAAATATAGCAGACACGGTGGCACAGTTGGAATCCTCCAGTGGGGTCTGTGAATGCCAGCATTGACCGGGGCGGCGTGGGCACTTGGGCCCCATGGATACTGAGCTAATTCGGTGGTAGGCTAAGTTAAGGAAGACCCTCACGGTTGGGGATCTCGATTTCAGACATGGACTTTGTGACGGCACTTTGCTCCCAGGTGGTTTATGAGGGCCTGGTGGATGACACTTTCCGCATCAAGTGTGGTAAGTGGCATCTCGGCGAGACAGAGGTGTGCTCGAGTCCTTGGGCCTCCCCAGGGGAGGACTTGTGGGGGAGACTCAGGCTCAGAGTGAAATGCTGGCTTCCAAATGGTTTGTTGTGGTTTTATTGCAAAGTCCGACTCCTTTATGACCGCGTGGACTGTAGCCCACCAGGCTCCTCTGTCCATGGGATTTCCCAAGCAAGAATTCTGGAGTGGGTTGCCATTTCCTCTTCCAGGGAATCCTGGATCAGGGATCAAACCTGCATCTCCTGCATTGGCAGGTGGATTCTTTACCACTGAGCCACCGCTGTGTGCTCAGTCGTGTCCGACTCTTTGAGACCCCATGGGCTGTAGCCCGCCAGGCTCCTCTGTCCAAGGAATTTTCCAGGCAAGGATACTGGAGTGGGTAGCCATCTCCTACTCCATGGGGCACTAGGGAAGCCCCCAAATAGTTTGGGGGACCTTTAACTCATTTTTTTTTTTTTTGCCCTGCTTGTGGGATCTTAGTTGCCTGACCAGAGAGTGAACCCAGGCCCCTCCAGAGTCCTAACTGCCAGGACTGCCGGGGAAGTCCTGGGGAGACCTTTCATGGCAATTCAGAAAAGGGTGGGGAAGGAAGGCTTCGTTGGAGATCCTCAGAGCTATCCCCTCTGCTCTCAAAGGGAGTGTTGACTTTGGCCCAGAAGTCACATCCTCTGACAAGAGCCTGAAGGTGCTGCTCAATGCCGAGGACAAGGTGAGCACACAGGTGCCCGCAGACGATTTCCCAGGCCGCTGCCACCACGAGGCTGAGGGCCCTGGTGCTGGGAGGGGAGGCCGAGTCTCAGCGAGAAGGCCACCCTGCCAGCTGAGAGGGTACCCCAGGGCGCACAGCAGGGATCGGACACATCCTTATCGAAACCGGCTCAGCCTTCTCTGCTAGATCCGCTGAGTGTATGCCCTGTGCTGTCACTGCGCCGAGCAGGCAGGAAGACGGGGGTCCAAGTCTGTGCAGTCATCTGTTCGTGCCGCATTCCCCCTACAGGTGTTTAATGAGATTCGGAACGAGCACTTCTCCAATGTCTTCGGCTTCCTGAGCCAGAAGGCCCGGAACCTGCAGGCCCAGTATGACGTGAGGCTCCCGCCCGGGGCCTCTGTCTGTTCCCTCGGCGGCTCCCCAGGCTGCTGCCTCCCTGATGCTACCGCAGCGGGGGGTGGGACCTGCGGGAGGGCAGTGGTCACTCCCGTGTGAGGGCAGAAGGCCTGACCTCTCGGGCACGTCCCCACAGCGCCGGAGAGGCATGGACATCAAGCAGATGAAGAACTTCGTGTCTCAGGAGCTCAAGGGACTGAAACAGGAGCACCGCCTGCTGAGCCTCCGTACGTTTCAGCTTGAGGCCAGGGTGAGGGGAGGGCTGCAGGGGAGCTCTGCCTCTGGGAGGAGATCCCGTTCATCTATCAAATAGCGCTTTTAAAAAAAAAAATTATTTTAATAATATCAGTGTTTCTGGTTGCTTTTTTAAAAAATTATTTATTTGGCTGCACTGGGCCTTAGTTGTGGCACGTGGGTCCTCTGTCTGTTCCCTCGGCGGCTCCCCAGGCTGCTGCCTCCCTGATGCTACCGCAGCGGGGGGTGGGACCTGCGGGAGGGCAGTGGTCACTCCCATGTGAGGGCAGAAGGCCTGACCTCTTGGGCACATCCCCACAGCGCCGGAGAGGCATGGACATCAAGCAGATGAAGAACTTCGTGTCTCAGGAACTCAAGGGACTGAAACAGGAGCACCGCCTGCTGAGCCTCCGTATGTTTCAGCTTGAGGCCAGGGTTAGGGGAGGGCTGCAGGGGAGCTCTGCCTCTGGGAGGAGATCCCGTTCATCTATCAAATAGTGCTTTTAAAAAAAAAATTATTTTAATAATATCAGTGTTTCTGGTTGCTTTTTTAAAAAATTATTTATTTGGCTGCACTGGGCCTTAGTTGTGGCACGTGGGACCTAGTTGACCAGGGATTGAACCTGTGCCCCCTGCATTGGGAATGTTAGCCACTGGACCACCAAGGAAGTCCCAAATAGTGCTCTTATTTGTTCTGAAATGGGAAGAAGGGCTCCTGCCCTTTGCCTGAAGAAGTTTTTATTCTCCTGGACAGTAAAGTGACCTCCTTCCATAAACAGGAATGTGTCTGCTCCCCTATTGTCCCATCTGCAGATATCGGGGCCTGTGAATCCATCATGAAGAAGAAAACCAAGCAGGACTTCCAGGAGCTCATCAAGACTGAGCATGGTGACTTGGCTGCCTCTCCTGCTTCTGCTTCCTGGACTCCCAGCCCCAGCCCGCCCTGAAAACATGTTCTTTGGCACTTTCCAGCTGATGGTGGCCATGTGGAATGCTGGTTCCTGCTAGAAGTCCTAGGGGCCCCTTAATCCCCCCCAAAAGGATGGAGAAAGAGATGGGGAGACAGACGCTCATTAGCATAGATGGCAACAAGCTGAGCCACTCCCCCAGTAACAGGTTCTCCTGATTCCTTGCAGCGCTACTGGAGGGGTTCAACATCCGGGAGAGCACCAACTACATTGAAGAGCACATCGACCGGCAGGTGAGGCGGGGCTCAAGCAGAGAGAAGAAGAGAGAACGTGTGTTATGAAACGTGAATTCTCCGTGACTCTTTCTTCCTGTGCAGGTGTCACCCATAGAAAGCCTCCGTCTTATGTGCCTTTTGTCCATCACGGAGAATGGTGAGTCCCAGGGACCAAAGGTTGAAGAGCTGTACCTTAGGGACAGAAAAAGTCATTTTGAAAGAAAGAGAAATGTCCTAACAGACAAAACATTCATTCCCCTGTAATCTCATGGATTCTTTCCCCTGTAATAAAGTAGGTTTTTGTTTGGGGTGAAACACCCCCAGGTCATTAAGGTAATTTATCGTGCCAGCTGTAAGAACATCTGCATCTAGTTCTCTTCTCTGCAGTAAGGCCTGTCCCATCATAGGACTGTAAAGGGCAGAGCTGAGCAACATGTCTCTCGTTATTCCATCTGGCCTCCTACCCTCAACACGATTTCATAATTAAGATACAGTTCAGGAAAAACCAATTTCATAAGCATTTTAGAAGCTCGGATTCTGAACTCTTCATGGCAACTTGTTCTGAGTGTTGAAGTCTTCCAGTTTAAAAATATCATTATTATTATTTTAATTTGTTTATTTTTGGCTGCACTGGGTCTTTGTTGCTTCAGGGTTCTCTTGTTGTGGCACATGGGCTTAGCACGTGCCCCCTGCATTGGCAGGTGGATTCCTAACTGCTGGACCACCAGGGAAGTCTCAGCAAATATTCTTTAAGGTTACTTTTTACCCAGAGAAGTCATTAGCTTATTCTAAATCCCCCTTATTGTAGTTGGAAGCCCATTTCCTCTTACATCTAAGTTCCCTGTTGCACTTTGGGAACTCATGTGGACACCTCTCCCATCCCTCACTTGCTATTAAGCAGTTCCCGGGAGGACTGGCCCCTAGCCAGGGAAACACACGCACAGGAAGGCCCTTCTCCCCGTGCTTGCGTTCCCCTCCCCCACCCCCCATGGATGAGATTGGCATTCATCAGTGTCCCTTCTCCAGGGCTCTTCCTTGGAACCCTCAGATCCAGGCTTTATCTTTCAAAAAGCAGGCTTCAGTTCAGGAGTCAATTTAGAATTGACTGCATAGGATGCAAAGTTAACATGAAGTCCAACTCCTTCCTTCTCATTAGGGTTTGGTTTTTTTTCCTGCGGGGAGGAGGGTTTGTTGGTTGGTGGGTTTGGCTGTACACGTTAGGACACCTCAACTGGCTCCTAAACCTTTACTTTTCTTACCCTCAGGTTTGATCCCCAAGGATTACCGATCCCTGAAAACCCAGTACCTGCAGGTAAGGCCAGGAGAATGTGTTCTCGAGGGAATTTGGTGGACATTTTCGAAAGAGTTGAAGAAGAAATAGCTCCTTTCCGGCCCTGGTCACCCTTCTGTTGCCATGCGGCCTCCCTCTCAGCACAGACACCCTTCCCACCACCCTCATTTCACTCTGCTCCCTGCTTTATGTGGCTAGTGTGGGAGGGAATTTGAACAGTTCAGCTGTTGGAACCAGTGGTAAGTTCTTGCCCTTGGACTCTCCCTCCCTTTAGCTCCTTGTGCCGCATCTATACAGCTTTCCTTCCAAGTCCTTCTCAAGTTCTGCCTCCTCTGTGAAGCCTTCCCCACCTCCTTCCATCCATAATTTTCTGTGTTAATTGTTTCATGCTGCTTTTATTGTTTGTTTGGTGTTTGGTTATTTCTAATGTGACTTCCCCAGCACAGCACTGTGAAGCACTTATCCCCCGATTGAAAAAAAATAAATTCTTCCCCACAAACAAGTGTGGGCTTTTCAGGACACAGACCACATAATCCTCCTCTCCCCCACCTCCGTATCACCTCACAGGGCTAGGCCCTTGGTGGATGCTTGGTAGAGAGCTGAATTGCATTTTGTTCAGAGCTATGGCCCCGAGCACCTGCTGACCTTCTCCAACCTGCGGCGAGCTGGGCTCCTAACAGAGCAGGCCCCGGGAGACACCCTCACAGCCGTGGAGAGTAAAGTGAGCAAGCTGGTGACGGACAAGGCCGCAGGTGAGAGGGAGTGCAGGTAGCCCCGTCTGCCCTCCCTGGTCCTCGGTGCCTCATCTCTCAACAGGTGGAGCACTCTGGGCAAGGGGAGAATGAGCTGGGGAAGGAGAAGGTGATTCCTTACTGTCACTGTCCTTACCGCCACTCCTGCTTTCTTGTTAGAACAGCTTCAAGTTAGTGAACACTGATGTGCTAAGCCCTTTAGATATACTTTCTCATGTAATCCTCCCAAACCTTCTTCACGATAAGTTGTATTATTTCCATTTTACACATGAGGAAACCAAGGCAGAGGGAGGGTAAGTGACTTGTTCAGGGCCCCTCAGTCAGTCCGGTTTGACTCCAAAGGCCACACACTTAAGCAGTAAACTGTAGATCACCCTATGGATTGCATTTAGTAGAGAGTTGGTCCCCTATAGAAGGAGGAAGACTGGGTGAGGAGAGAAAGGCAGTGAATGTCTTGATCAGTTTCAGGTGATTGGCTGTAGGTGTAGGTGATCAGCTTTAAGGAGGGTCTTCAGATGTGATAGGTCCTGCTCTTTGAGGATAGGCGGTCCTGTCACTTCCTGAATGGTATCACCCACACAGCATCGTTAATCCATAAACCTTAGATAAAACCCGGCACAAATTTCTTTCCCAGGAAAGATTACTGATGCCTTCAGTTCCCTGGCCAAGAGAAGCAATTTCCGAGCCATCAGCAAGAAGCTGAACTTGGTATGTGGATCAGGAGTGGGTAGGGGATGCAGTGGGTTCAGTCCTTTGTGGAGTACTTGAGCCCACAAAACGCTTTCTGTTACTTTGCTTTTATAAAGATCCTTTTGTTTGGGGACTTCCCTGGTGGTTCAGTGGTTCCGACTCCATGCTTCTAAAGCAGAGGTGCGGGTTCAGTCCCTGGTTGGAGAGCTAAGTGTCCACATGCTATCAAAATGCAGCCAAAAACTAAAAATTAAAGGAAAAAAAGAAGATTATTTTGTTCGGTAGCATTATAGCATGAGCTTAATTTAATAATGAGACAAAACACAAAGGTTCATTCATTTAGTAAACATGTAACACACACCTACGAGTATCAGAATGTGCCAAGTGCTGCTTCAGTGACAGGCGTGTCCCATGTCACTGCTGGAGGGTCACAAAGGGGCACTCCTGCCAGGGCACATGGGCCCTCATTCAGCAGAACTGGCAGGTACTGAACAGCTTCTGTCTTTGATTATGGAGTTTTCCCCACCCCCCGCCCCCGTAAGGCTATTGCTGCTTCTCCTTTTAGTTGAAGTAAGAACAGCTCTTGGGGATATACCACTTTCCTCTGACTCTGTAAAGGACTGGAAGGCTGAGTTGCCACTTGCCTCCTGCATTCCCCTTTACCCTCCAGATCCCACGCGTGGATGGCGAGTATGACCTGAAAGTGCCGCGTGACATGGCGTACGTGTTCAGCGGTGCGTACGTGCCCCTCAGCTGCAGAATCATCGAGCAGGTGAGAACGTGGCCCCCTCCCATTCATATTTCATGCTTTCTGCTTTCTCTTAGTCCCTGGCCTGGGTCAGAGCTCAGAGCCCAGCCTGGCCTGGCCCAGCTTGTAACTACCTGAGCAACTAGCAAGGAACGTGACAGTCTGGCTACGGCTGGACTTGAACCTAGTGCTTGTGCCTTCCCAGGTGCTAGAGCGACGGGGCTGGCAGGGCCTGGACGAAGTGGTGCGGCTGCTCAACTGCAGTGAGCTGGCCTTCACAGGTGCATGGCCTTCCTTGCCCAGTGGGGGCGGGTGGAACAAGGGGAGGGCCTGATGCACTGCCCAGTATGAGCCTGCATGGCCAGTGAAGAGCTGAGTCTGGTCCGGTCTTTGCAGACATGACCAAGGATGACAAGGCCTCCAGCGAGTCCCTGCGTCTCATCTTGGTGGTGTTCTTGGGTGGCTGCACGTTCTCTGAGATCTCAGCCCTCCGGTTCCTGGGCAGAGAGAAAGGTGAGAACAGGCCTCCATGGGATCTGGGGGGCCAAGGGCAGACCTCAGGAAGGCTTCTTTAGAGGCCTCTGGGTACTACCTGCTGCCATCTTGCTGGGGGCTGAATAGCAGGGAGCCTGGTTCCACCCAGTGTGGCAAGTTGCTGGGCCCGAGAGCGTGGTGCTGGTGTACCTGTGACTACAGACTGGTGCTCTGACCCAGCCCGGGCTGTGGACCTGGAGGGGCCCCACATGGCTGGTGTCAGGGGCTCAAATCTGCCCTCAGTCACGTTCGGTGGTGCTTTTACTCCTTAGGGTACAGGTTCATTTTTCTGACAACAGCAGTCACCAACAGTGCCCGCCTCATGGAGGCCATGAGTGAGGTGAAAGCCTGAAGTTTTCCCTGCCAGTGTTGATGTCTTCCCGGGACGTGTTCCTCAGTGGGATGCAGGAGTCTGACTCCCAGCTGCTAAGAAAATGTCTACCAACTACCCTCCTAAGAGCTGGGGAGCAGGGAACTTACTTAGGATCTAGAGAACCTATCTGAGGAGAGAGTTCACCTTCTTCCCCCAGGAAGTTTCTTTTTTGTTTATGAAGTACAGCCCCTGCTAGTAAGATAAGGAGGATCTTTTGCTAAATCCTCTTTGAGTATCATTGTAAATAAAGCCTCTACTCTCAACGTATCATGTTTAGTTCTGGACAGGCACTTCCACAGTTTATTGGGGGGAGGTGGAAGGGGCTGTATATAGCAGATTAGTGTGCCCCGCGGCTGGGACTGGGTAGTTGCTCTGGGCCTGGTCTGTGTCTTCCTTGAAACTTGTGCTGTAATTCACTTTCCTCAGTCATAAAACAGGGATTAGATGATCAGTAAGCACCCTTCCAATTCTAAAATTCTGTGATTCATTGTATTTTAGGAAAAATGAATTTGCGAGGCACTTGAATTTTAAGTCTTCGGTTTCTCATTGCAGAAGGAGATTGTACCCCCGCTTAGAGCAGTTTTAGGCACTGTGCTCCTCTAAAGGCCACTAGTGCCCCTGTAAGTGCTAATTCTAATGGCCTCGCTTTCCCTTCACCCTTTAAAAATGGTGAACTCTAACCACCGTCTATTAGTGGTTTGTCTTCTAACTTGATCTTACTCTTAATCCCCTTTTCCTTCTTGTAAGGCTTCCATGACAATTTTCTCCTCCTGCGTCTCCTGGGCTGCATTTCCATCTCCTTTGTTTCCTCTGTCTGTGGATCCTCCTCTGTTGCCATCTCCTTCTCTGTCTTGTGTTATCCGCTTGCCCATCTCAAGCTTTTGTCTCACTGCTGAACTTCACGCTGTTATTTCCAACGTGATCACTCCATGGGCAGTGGAAATTCAGCACGTCTAAAATAAACTCTCAAACTGAACTTCGTGTCGCCACGTGGGGCCCCTAAACCTGCTCCTCTTCCTCTGTTTCCCTAATTGACATTCTCATCTTCTGCCCTAGTTTTGTTCATGCAAGAAATTATATCCTTGACCTTAGATTTTTTTTCTTTTTATCCACTACATTCAGCTGGTCCCCCTACCCATTATTTCTAAATGCTTCTAGTTCATTTCTCTTCACCATCCCCATGGCAGATGTACTTGTTTTTGGCCCGGGCTTTTTGCAAAACTGTCCTTTCCAGTTGTTTCGCCTCCAGTCTGTTCCCCAGTCCACAGTGCTGCCACTTCTTAAAAGATAGATCAGGGACTTCCTGGTGGTCCAGTGGTTAAGAATCTGCCCTGCAATGCAGGGGATACAAGTTCAATCCCTGGTTAGGGAACCAGGATCCTGCATACCTCAGAGTAACTAAGCACGCATAACTAAAGTTATGCCAGAATGAAAGATCCCGTGTCTGAAACCCAATACAGCCAAATAAATAAATTTAAAAAATAAAAGAAGAAGACCCAAACCTGTGTTGTTATGTCATCAAAAGTATTCTTTCCACAGGAAAATGACAATGCTGTGTTGAAATTCCAAGGAAAATGCATATCTCAAGTATCTAGCTAGAAGCTTGACAGTGTTACACTAAACTAGTGTGCAAGATCAGAGACACTGCTGACAGGACTGTTAGTTTGTAAAAAGAATTGAACAGTCAGAAAAACATTCTTTGGCCAAATGAATAAACGGTAGCAGTGCACTGCACTTAAATTCTAGAACAGTGCAGTTGGATAGGACCATAATATGATCCTTTTGTATACATACATTTCAAAGTGTTTTACATGCTGAGTATGTGCCCTGAATTATCTTTCAATGGTTCTATGACTTTGTTAGTTTCAGAACTACAGTGTAAAGCACATGATAGCAAAATTGTCTTATCTCTGAAAACTTACAACCCAGGCCACGTGTCTGAAGATCACAAGTTTTTGATGCTTTCTGGAAAACTCTCAACTTGATCAACAAAGAGAGCAAGAAAATTTAAAAAGTGGTGCCTGTAAGCCACATAGTGGTGCGAATGTTTGGCACACTGCTAACAAGTTAGATCCAACGAGTCCGTCCTAAAAGAGATCAGTCCTGGGTGTTCATTGGAAGGACTGATGCTGAAGCTGAAACTCCAGTACTCCACCTCATTCGAAGAGTTGACTCATTGGAAAAGACCCTGATGCTGGGAGGGATTGGGGGCAGGAGGAGAAGGGGACGACAGAGGATGAGATGGCTGGATGGCATCACCGACTCGATGGGCATGAGTCTGAGTAAACTCCAGGAGTTAGTGATGGACAGGGAGGCCTGGCGTGGTGCGATTCATGGGGTCACAAAGAGTCGGACACGACTGAGCGACTGAACTGAACAAGTTAAAGGTGTTGAAAGCAACAGTGAAGTTGCTTCAACAGTGAAAAAAAACAGTCATGAAGGTTAAGCAAACAAGCACCCTTTACTTTTCTTTCATGGAAAAGGCAAATAAAGAGAATTCACAGACACTACTGTTGGCCAATAAACATGGGGGAAATGTGCAATTTCCATTATTATCAAGCAAGCAATGATTCTTATCAAGGAAAGAAATGTCACAAGGACAGCAGTACTCCATGCTGCTGAGGGTAAAGAAGGTATTCTTCCAGCGAGGATGCCTTGGTGGTGAGGGCAAATGAATAAATACAACCTGTCTGGAGAGGGAGCATAAAGTAATTACACTTCTGGGAACTAACCCTAAGAAAGAATGCAAGATGCAGAGATTGAGGTATGAAAACATTTATCTGTACGAATGACACCTAAATATTCATCAACTGTAAAAGAGCTGAATTATGAATCTACACGACCATATATTACACAACCATGAAAAAGTGATATGTAAGCATTGAGTGCTTTCCTGGTGGCTCAGATGGTAAAGAATCTGCCTGCAATGCGGGAGAACTGGGTTCGATCCCTGCGCTGGGAAGATTCCCTGGAGGAGGGCATGGCAATCCACTACAGTATTCTTGCCTGGAGAATCCCCAGAGACAGAGGAGCCTGGCAGGCTACAGTCCATGTGGTAGCAAAGAGTCGGACACGACTGAGCACAGCGCACAGCTGCAAGCAACTTTGTCGAGTTTTGAGTCTAATTTTTCATAGGACAATTACATAAACCCATGTAGTTTTAAAGAAAACCACGATCCAGGTAATCTCATTTATTTACCAATCTTTCCCTGGTAAGTCACAAACCTTTTGGAGATACTTCCTTCTGTAGAACGGCGTTGTTTACCTAGCAGGATGGTTGGGCCTCCCAGTGGTTCAGTGGTAACGGATCCGCCTGCCAATGCTGGAGAGGCAGGTTGGATCCCATGGACAGAGAAGCCTGGCAGGCCATTGGGGTCGCAGAGTCGTACACTACTTAGCGACTAAACAACAACAAAAACAGGATGGTTGGGAAGATTAAATGAGATCACTAAAAAAGCACCGGCCGGTGAGCAAGGTCCAACGTCACTCCCTCTCCCCTTTAAGTCCTGCTTTCCTCTATCTGGGGAAACGGCCACCAAAGCTCGGTCTCCAGGACTGCTGCCTGAAAGAACGAGGGAAACACATTAAGGCGCCAGGCTTTTCTGTGACTCCTGCTCCCGTCACCTCGCCGGCCAAGGGCGGCAATGCGTTTTAAACGCACCATACCAGGGAGACCAGGAGACTCGGCGGTCTCTAGGCGGAGACGCGTGCTTTGAAAACCGCGCCCAGTGCGCAGGTCCCCCGCCCCAAACCGCGGCGCGCCGGTGGGCGGGGCGAGGGCGGGGCTTCACGAGGAGCGACGGGACAGGGCACCAATCGCGGGGCTTTTACCGCCTGCGGTTCGGTTTGAAATTCTGCGGAGGCCTAACGGCTCGTGCAGCTGCGACCGGGTGGGACGCTGCTGTACTTGCCGGGGGTTTCTGGGATCGGCCCGCGTGGAGAAGGTCGGGGGCCTCGACGCCCGCCCGCTTGGAGCGTCCGTCATGAGGAGAAGGTGCATGTTTGTGGGGGGTGTCGAGGGGGCGCGGGAAGGAGCGACTCCCCTTCTGGGTGCGGGGCGGTGCGGGGTCCGAGGGGCCGCCCTCCACCCAGGGTCGGGGCGTCCTGACAGCCGCAACCGAGTGAGGCCGGGAGCGGCCGGGCTCCACTGGGAAGCTGAGTCAGCGCGAGGGCCGCTGGCCGCTGGCGGCGGGGAAGCTAGACCTGACACCCCCTTTCCCCGGCGGCCTCGGGCCCCCGCAAGTCCAGCCGCCCCGAGCGGCCCGAGCGCAGGTGCCCGGAATCAGCGGCGGGGTGGGGAGGTCGGGTCGGGCCCGCGGCGCCGCGGGTGCGGGGTGGTCGGAGCTGGAGTCCGAGAGCCCCACCCTCTCCGGCCGCCTAGCGTCTAAGGTGCTGCTTCTTGGCACCGACAGCTTGTTTTATGTATGTCCTGAGTTTTTTGTAGTCAGGGTTCAATAAAGCCGTTAAGCTTTTAATTTAGCGTTGCATTTCAGTGTCTCTGGGTTGCAGTGTTAATATTTTACTTGAATTGGAAACATAGCTTGGTTTTCCTGCAAGTTCAGAAACTCCCAATTAAGGAATACGTGTCCGGTCGTTTCAGCAACTTTTCGGGCATTGCGGGAGAAGCGGGGTTGGGGGGTGGGGCGGGAAGGAGTGTCCGAATTGAAATTTGCGACCAGACTCATCACTCGGCCTCTTACCGGCCTTGCAACTTCGGGCAATGATGTTGAATGTCCATTTGCTCATCTCTAAAATGAAAACAATGCCAGTGCTAGGATTTTTGTGTTTAAAGTGATATAGTTGTTAACCTTATTTTCGGAAAGTAGTGAGTGAAGCATTGTGATGATTCATTATTAAGTAATTTGTAGTTATTGGTCAGACTGGTTAATGTATGGCTTTGTAAGGTTCTTCTTTCCATGGTTACTGATTCTGACAGTTCTTTTTCATAATGCTTATCCTTGGGAGAATGGGAATGGAGTACAAATCACTGGCACCACTGGAAAACAGTTGTTGGGTGTCAGGTTGTGGATGACAAATAACTTCTTATTTAAAAGCACAGTTAAGCTGCAGTGTGTTTCAGCTAATGACACATTCTGAAGACTGGTAAAATTTTAAATGACATTTTACAGAAGACTCTTACTCCCAAGTCCGTTAGCAGTTTTTGGATTGTTCAGGCATCTTACTGCTTTCAAGAAAGTGAATGATGGGGAAGGAAAAGTTATCAGTTGACTTTGGTTCCAGCCTGACAGATCTAACTAGGCTTTAAAAGGACAACTGGAATTACTATGCTAACAAAACCAGACTTTCAGGTAATCTGGTGTCAAGTATTCATATTTAGAGAAGACTGAGAGAAATATGCCTGGAAAATATGGTTATCAGAATGGTCACTGAATTAGCTATTGGCTTGATTTCTGAAGCAGGTTTTACAGAGGATTGTACAGAGGAGCTTAACAAGCTTTTCTGAAGGGCTATTTAGAAAAAAAAAAAAGACAGTAGATCAGTGGAATGCTGCCAGAAGGTAGGAAATCATTTAAAGGGCCATTTAGGATATCTTCTGGGCTAGTGACTTAAGAGTCTCAAGACTGGAAAAATGGGCCCCTTTCAACCTCTGTGTTCTTGAATGGTATTCTTGTAAGCACCCTCAGTTTTTCGAGTGATGTATGTAGCACAAGAAAAAAAATCTCAAATTTGCACCTTTTCAGGAATTACCTGAAACCAATTAGCAAGGCAGTACGTACTTGTACCATAATTTTTTTTTACATTTTTTATGCTTTTAGTTTAAAGTTTTATTGAAATACAGTTAATTTACAATGTTGTGTTAATTTCTGCTGTATAGCAAAGTGATTCAGTTATACATATATATATTCTTTTCCATTACGGTTTATTCCCAGGGTATTGAATACAGTTTTGTGTGCTATACAGTTTGAATCTGCTAATCCCAAACTCCCAATCCTTCCTTCCCCCTTGGCAAGCACAAATACGTTCTCTATATCTGTGAGTCTGTCTTGTGTCGTATTTTAGATTCATGATAGCATGTGGTATTTGTCTTTCTGATTTACTTCACTTATGATAATCTCTGAGTCCATTTGTGTTGCTGCAAATGGCATTATTTTCTTTTTTATGGCTGAGTAATATTCCATTGTGGGTATGTATGTGTGTATATATACACCACACCTTCTTTATCCATTCATCTATTAATGGACATTTAGGTTGTTTCCCGCTGTTGTAGTAGTGCTGTGAACACTAGGGGTGCATGTATCTTCAAATTATAGTTTAGTCTGGGTATGTGCCCAAGAGTAGACTTGCTGGATCATATGGCAACTCCATTTTTCTCTTTTTTTTCTTTTGAGGAACCTCCAAACTGTTTTCCATAGAGGCAGCACCAACTTACATTCCCTCTAGTAGTGTAGGAGGGTTCTCTTCACACCTTCTCCAGCATTTGTTATTTGTAGACTTTTAATGATGGCTGTTCTGACCAGTTATGAGGTGGTACCTCATTATAGTTTTGATTTGCATTTCTCTACTAATTAGTGATGCTGAGAATCTTTTCATGTGCCTACTGGCCATCTGTATGTCTTCTTTGGGTAAATGTCTGTTAAGGTCTTCTGTGCATTTTTTGATTGGGTTGTTTCTCTTTTTTTATTGTTGTTTGAGCTGTTTGTGTATTTTGGAGATTAAGCCCAAGTCTGTCACGTCGTTTGCAAATATTTTCTCCCATTCTGTAGGTTTTCTTTTCATTTTTTTATTAACTAATTTTTGGCTGTGCTGGGTCTTTGTGGCTGTTCCTCTAGTTGCGGTGTACACGCTGCCTGGACTTCTCGTTGCAGAGCACGGGCTCTAGAGCATGGGCTGAGTGGTGGCGGCACACGGGCTTAGTTGCCCCACGGCAGTGGAATCTTCCCGGAGCAGGAATCGAACGCATGTCCCCTGTGTTGGCAGGCAGATTCTTAACCACTGGGCCCCCAAGGATGTCCCAGTAAAGTCTTTTAAACACTCTTCATTATGTGTGTATGGATATTGCCATCTGGCATAGGCAGCTAGTATTTGTGCGAAAGCTTTTCCGCAACTAGCACAGGAAACCTTTACATTGGGATTCCCTGGCTAGAAAAACGTCTTGGAGATGAGTGTATTAAAACTATGGAGAAACTGATGTTCCTGGAGATCTAGGCTGGTGATTCAGAATCCCTGAATATGCTGTAACAGAAAGGGGGCCAGTGAGAGCCTCTAGCCTCATCCCTCGCACAGAAGAGCTTCAGTGACTTGTTCCAGGCCTCCTGGCTGACTGGCAGCAAAGCACATCCAGAGTTTAACTTTAGCAGATACTGCCAACAGTCTCAAGGTGGTGTACTAATTCACTCCAACCAGCAGTGTGTGAAGCTTCTGGCTTTTCTATATACTCATCAACACTGATCAGGGGTTGATATCCAAAATATACAAAGAATGTATACAACTCAACATTAAGAAAATAAACACCCTTACTAAAAATGGGTAGAGGATCTGAATAGACATTTTTCCAAGGAAGACGTTCACCTGGTCAACAGGCACATGAAAAGATGCTTAACATCACTAATCAAAAGGGAAATGCAGATCAGAACCACAATGAGATAATCACCTCACAACTGTCAGAATGGCTTTTCTTGAAGACAACAGATAACATGAATTGGCGAGGATACTGGGGAAAAGGACCCCTTGTGCACTATTGGTAGCGATGTAAATTGGAGTAGCCACTATGGAAAACAGTTGGCGATCCCCCAGAAAATTAAATATAGAACTATCAGGGACTTCCCTGGCTGTCCAGTGGTTAAGAAACTGCCTTGCAATTCAGGGGGTGTGGGTTTGATTCCTGATCAGAGAACTGAGATACCATATGCCACAACAAAAAGATCCTGCAGGCTGCAATGAAGATCCCACAGCAAGAAAGACCCAGTGCAGCCAAATTAAATAAAAAAGAAAAATACAAACTTCCAGTTACAAAATAAGTGAGTTACAGGTATGAAATGGACAGTGTGCAGAATATAGTCAATAAGTAGGTAATAGCTTGTATGGTGACCTACTGTAGCTAGACTTATTCTGGTGATCAGTTTGAAATGTATAGAAATATGTTCACTAATATTCACTGTGTTCTCTAGCAGGAATTAACATAGTGTTATAGGTCAATTATACTTCAGAAACAAGCAAATTCAGAGAAAAAGAGATAGTTTTAGCTTACCAGAGTCTGGGGGTAGGGGGAAGGAAGAATTGGATGAGGGCAGTCAAAAGGTTATAAGGTAAGTCAGGTTTTTTAAAAATTTGTATTTAATGTATTTTTGGCCATGTTGGGTCTGTGTTGCTATGTGGGCTTTCTCTAGTTGCTGTGAGCGGGGGCTACTCTCTAGCTGCAGCGCAGACTTCTCACTGCAGCGGCTTCTCTCGTTGTGAAGCCTGGCTCTAGGGCGTGTGGGCTCAGTAGTTGTGCACAGACTTAGTTGCCCCGTGGCATGTGGAATCCTTCCAGAGCAGGGACCACACCCACGTCCCCTGTGTTGGCAGTCAGATTCTTAACCAATGGACCACCACAGAAGTCCAGATAAATCAGTTTTAAGATAGGTAATAGGAAAAAAAAAAAAGATAAGTAATAGGGATGTAATGTACAACATGATCAATATGATTGGCACCACTGTATGTTATTTATGAAAGTTATTAAAGAATAATACTGAGTTCTTGTCATAAGAATAATTTTTAAATTTCTTTAATATTTTACCTATATGAGATGATAGATGTTTACTAAACTTATTGTGCTAACACTTCATGATGTATGTAAATCAAATCATTGTGCTGTATACCTTAAACTTATACAGTGCTGTATATTAATTATAGCTTAATAAAACTGGAAGGGAAAAAGATGAGTAACAAGTTCGCAGTAAACTTCCAGCTGTTTTATAGGAGCTGACATTTTTGTCTGTTTTTCCGTATTATACTACCATAAGTAGAATCATTGATTGAAGTCCAGATTCTGAGTATTATTCAAAAGACTGAATTTACACAATGTAAGATTGAATTTCTAAAATGTAATGTGATACTGGATTTTGCTTTGCCAGGGTTGTGGTGTTTGTGGGGGAAAGGATAGGGGAGTAGTTAAAGATGAATTAAGTTGAATGCTTGTTTCCAATTTTTTTAGCCTTGAGCCCACTGAGAAACTAGTTTTAGTTCCTGTAAATATAGTTTTTAGACTGGAGGCAGTGACTCATGTCTCTGGCTTCTCTTTTGGTTTTTAGTGAGGTGCTGGCAGAGGAGTCCATAGTTTGTCTCCAGAAAGCCCTGAATCACCTTCGGGAAATATGGGAATTGATTGGCATTCCAGAAGACCAGCGGTTACAAAGAACTGAGGTTGTAAAGAAGCACATCAAGGTGAGTTTAGTAGCACTGGCCTCTTTGCAGTGGGACAGGGGAAAGGATGTTGGTGTCTCATCTAAAATAGCATATAGAAGTGACACTAGGATGTCACAGGCTCCTCCTGGTTTTGTTTGCATGTTTGTTTTGGCCAAGCCATGGGGATCCTAGTTCCCGGACCAAGGATTGAACCTGGGTCCCCTGCATTGGGAGTGTGGAGTCTTAACCACTGGACCACCAGGGAAGTCCTGTTTTTTTTTAAGTCCTTTCTTAAAAATTTGAAACTGTGAGGTTTTTGGTGTTATTTGTTGTTTGACGCCAATGGGGGAAAACCCAAAACTTTTATAGGACTGTTTTCTCTCTCATAGGACCTCCTGGATATGATGATTGCTGAAGAGGAAAGCCTGAAGGAAAGACTTATCAAAAGCATAGCCGTCTGTCAAAAAGAACTGAACACTCTGTGCAGCGAGTTAAATGTTGAGCCTTTTCATGTATGTGGCAGGGGGTCAAGGGATCTTGTTTGGGTCTGAGATTTAGGGAAGAACTTTTGATTGGGAGCTCCAGGTGGAAAGTTCCCTTGTAGGGCTGGTACTGGACGTGAGAAATGGGTGGAGCATGTTGCCTAGTTACTTGGTTCCAGCAAAGCCATTTTTTTCACTTATATAAATAAGTTGCCCTGTTGAGAGGCTAAACACCTAAGTGTTGCAATATTTTAATCAAAAACAAGTTTCCTATTCCTATCAATTTGTAGGACATAAAAATTTTTTTAACTCTGAGCTTTGTTAAAAGAGGAATAGATGATATCATTCCATTCTTTCTTTGAAAAAAAATGAAAAGAGCTACTTAAACAAAAGTGACAAGTGATATAAGGGAAAGTTACCCCCAAAACCTGCCTTTGTGGGTTTTTTCATACTTGAAAGCTGCACAGCACTGAACCAGCCAGAGTGGCCACATGAGAAGAAATGTTTCCATAGTAAGAATATCAGGAGGGTGAGGTCAAACCCAGGGATGCTCTTCTGTGTTTCTTGCTGAGAGGTTGCTGTCCAGCACGAGTCAGACATGAATGCAGACACCAGCAAGCATGACATGAATGACAGAGGGACCCCGAAACATAGCCTGGGTTAGAACCAGTAAAAACAGTGTTGGGATCATAAAAATGAAGACAAATGTGAGGGTTGGGAAGGTAACTAGAATAGAGGTAGGAGCAGGGACAGCACACAGGGGGCTGATGTGGTACCAGTAAGGTCTCAGGTCCCTCTCCCTGTTAGAGAAAGAACTGCCTGGGTATCTAGATGGAGTCAGCAGAGGAGGACACTGTGCTTAAAGAGTTAAGGATAATTAATATCTTGTAGCCGTGAACAATCAGGCAGACTCGGACATCAACACAAATGGCATAAATATCATTGATTTTGAGATTGCTTTTTTTTTAAATTTTTTAATTGAAGGATGATTGCTTTACAGAATTTTGTTGTTTTCTGAGATTACTTCTTTAGTCTTTTTTAACTTTTGATATGAAATTGGATGAGAAGTTAGGTATTCAGTAGTATATCTCCCTTAAATTATATTACAGTTCCTAGTTCAATGTTGAATAAAATTTATAGGACATATAACTGCCACTTTTTTCTTCTCTTGCTTATCAGTTAGGAGTAGAGCAAGGAGTACAAAATGGATTTTTATTGGTTAAATGATGACCTTCGATTATTGGGATGGTTAAGTAATGTTCTTAGGATTTGGGGGATAAATGTTTAGTTAGGAGCTAAATAACTGTAGCTAACTCAAAGCAAGTTTTTCAGCCATTTTTACCTCGGGTAAGATTGCCCCAGTACCTCTCCTTGTCGGGGAACCTTGTTAGGGGGCCCTCTCTGTGCCATGTTCTGTTAGGTTAGGTTTATTCTGTTAGGCTAACAAATAAGTTAACTTATTTGTAAGTTTAACTAAAAGTCTGTCATCCTAGTCTTTTTTCTTCATCGTCTTTCTCCTCCTTTGAAGAGATCCACTTGGCACCTTAACAGTGGTACGTTGTCTCCTACAGGAAGAAGGAGAGACAACCATCTTGCAACTAGAAAAGGATTTGCGTACTCAGGTAGAACTGAGGAGAAAACAGAAAAAGGAGAGAAAACAAGAACTGAAAATTCTTCAAGAACAAGATCAAGAACTGTGTGAAATTCTTTGCATGCCCCATTATGAAATTGACAGCACCTCAGTTCCCAGCTTAGAAGAGCTGAACCAGTTTAGACAACATGTGGCAACTTTGAGGGAAACAAAGGTATGCTAACATTGGTGTTTCTATTCAGTTTGCTAAGTAGCATGTTAACTCTTTGTGACCCCATGGACTGCAGCACGCCAGGCTTCCCTGTCCTGCAGTATCTCCTGGAGTTTGCTCAAATTCAGGTTCATTGAGTCAGTGATGCTGTCTAACCATCTCATTCTCTGTCGCCCCCTTCTCCTCCTGCCTTCAGTTTTTCCCAGCATCAGGGTTTTTTTCCAATGAATCGGCTCTTTGCATCAAGTGGCCAAAATATTGGGAGCTTCAGTTTCAGCATCAGTCCTTCCAGTGAATATTCAGGACTGATTTCCTTTAGGATTGACTAGTTTGATCTCCTTGCAGTCCCAAGAGTCTTCTCCAGCACCACAGTGTAAAAGCATCAATTCTTCGGCGCTCATCCTTCTTTATAGTCCAACTCTCATACCCATACATGACTACTGGAAAGACCATTGCTTTGACTATATGGACCTTTGTCAACAAAGTGATATCTTTGCTTTTTAATATTCTGTCTAGGTTTGTCATAGCTTTATGTCAACATTCATATGTCCTAAAAGTCATTTGACTTTCCTCCAGATATCTTATAATCATCTTCTTTCATAGGCATCTAGGCGTGAGGAGTTTGTTAACATAAAGAGACAAATCATACTGTGTATGGAGGAATTAGAGCACACTCCGGACACAAGCTTTGAAAGAGACGTGGTGTGTGAAGATGAAGAAGCCTTCTGTTTATCTCTGGAAAATATTGCCACACTACAGAAGTTGCTCCGGCAGGTAATGTCGCTCAGATTATGACCTGGGATCTCCACAGTATCCAGCAATTTGGGAAGAAAAACTTGCGGTTTAAGATAAAGAGAGTATTGTATGAAATACAACCTTGAATTTTTTTTTAAACAAAAACCTTAATTTATATGTAGTTCTCAGAATATGAAATTCAGGATTTGGGTGAAAAACTAAGTTATTTGAATTAGTTTAGTGTTTAACTGAAAAAAAAAAAAAAAATTTCTTTTTTAGTTAAAATTTAAATCCTAATTTTGGAGATCTGAGACCCTACTACCATAATGACAGCCTTATAGTTTGTTTTCAGAAGTCATGAAAACACAGCTCTTCACAGTCTTGTGAAAGTGCTTCTTCTCTATGGGGGTAGAGATGTATCTTTGTGCAAAGCCAGAGGGCCAGCTTTCTCTCTGCCTCTGTCATTGCTGTAACCACTGGCTTTCCTTGCTACAGCTGGAAGTGCGAAAATCACAAAATGAAGCAGTGTGTGAGGGGCTGCGTGCTCAGATACGAGAGCTTTGGGATAGGTTGCAAATACCTGCAGAAGAAAGAGAAGCTGTAGCCACGGTTATGACTGGGTCGAAGGCCAAGGTCCGGAAAGCGGTAAGGAACCCTAAGGGTGCTGGGTCAGCTTTTTGGTGTCAAGTGTGATGTCTCTGGGACTTCCCTAGTGGCTCACTGGTAAAGAATCTGCCTGCCAGTGCAGGAGATGTGGGTTCAATCCCTGGGTCAGGAAGATCTCTGGAATAGGAAGTGACAACCCAGTCTGGTATTCTTGCCTGGGAAATCCCATAGACAGAGGAGCCTGGCAGGCTACATAGTCCATGGGGTCGCAAAGAGTCGCAGAGAACTGAGCGACTGAGCGTGAGCACACACTGATGTCTTTACCAGCTTCTGCCTTGAGTGAGCCTGTTTTTTTCTTTCTTTTTTTAAAATACTTATTTGCCTCAGGTCTTGGTTGCATGCAGGATCTAGTTCCCTGACCAGGGATTGAACCTGGGCCCCCTGCATTGGGAGCACAGAGTCTTAGTCACTAGACCACCAAGGAAGTCCTGAGTGAGCCTGTTTTTAAGACAAACATCAGAAAAGGGTGGCAGTAGCCTAATCATCTGTTATTTTTTGGTGTATGTTTCTTAGATTTCTGGCTCCTAGGATATCATTGTTACAGAGTGTTGACTTGCCACTGTGGTTTTGTGTTGTAATTTTATTTAAAAGGGCTTTCCTTGTGGCTTAGCTGGTAATGCCTGCAATGCGGGAGACCTGGGTTCTATCCCTGGGTTGGGAAGATCCCCTGGAAAAGGGAAAGACTATCCACTCCAGTATTCTGGCCTGGAGAATTCCATGGACTATAGTCCATGGGGTCGCAAAGAGTTGGACACAACTGAGCAACTTTCACTTCACTTTATTAAAAAAGGGGAAAATATTTTGCAAATTTACATAAATATACAAGTATGGCAAGCACTTTTAACAGGCCTTTTTGTTTTAGCTGCAATTAGAAGTGGATCGGTTGGAAGAACTGAAAATGCAAAACATGAAGAAAGTGATTGAGGCAATCCGAGTGGAGGTGGCTCAGCACTGGGACAAGTGTTTTTACAGCCAGGAGCAGAGACAGGCTTTCGCTGCTTACTACTCTGGTTCGTGTAGAAGTGTCACTCTTCATGTGGCTGCCCATTTGTGCTTTATAAGTGCAGACGTTCACTGGGAAGTATTTCCTCTGGAACAGAGGCAAAAATTTCCAAGCCATTCAGCATAAATTGCCATTCCTGTTCAAATAAGCATTTGCAAATGCAGTTGGGAAATGAGGGATCTCTGAAGCGGTATAACTCTGTGGCCTATAGGTGTGAAGCTCAGGTTTATCAGGTGCTTACTCTGTGCTGCCAGGTGCAATGTCAGACTCTTAACAGGATTAGCTCACTTAATACTCACGTTAGGGGATGAGGAAGGACACTGAGGCACATAAATGTTGCACAACTTAACCCAGAGACACATAGCAGGTAAATGGCAGAGCCCACTTTTGAGCCCAGGAGTATGCCCCCAAGGGCCCAATGGAATTCTGATCTAAATTGAATATAAAGATGCTGCTGTCTTTACTGAATTCCATGTTTCTGAACATTTTCTGTGACTCAGCCCTCTATAGGGCAGCATGAAAAGAAATAATATGAAAGAAACATAAGACAAGGCAAAAGATGACAGAAGTTTTGAGAATCTTAGTCATATTATTCTACATCTTAGTCAGTCTCCAGTCCTACCAGGCTGATGGTGACAAACCTGACTTTTATTAGCTACAGCATACAATTACTCGTGTATCACTTTTACTGTAAGGGAGAAAAATCTGCTTCCATTTTAGGGGGATGAGGGATTAGTAAATTGGGATACTAAACACTGTAGGGATTTCTTAAAACTACTGGGCCTGTATCTTGCAGAGGACTACACAGAAAATCTGCTCCAGCTCCATGATGCCGAGATCGTGCGGTTAAGAAACTACTATGAGGTTCACAAAGAACTCTTTGAAGGTGTCCAGAAGTGGGAAGAAAGCTGGAGGCTTTTCTTAGAGTTTGAGGTACTGCCCTAGTTTTTGTCTATTTTCCTTAGAGTACAGTGTGGTGGTAAGCAAGCATCCTCTGCGTGGAGTCAGAGCCTATTTCCTTTGCTCTTTACTAGGTTTTATCATTATATCTGTAAATTACTGCCAACCCATCTGTATTTGTCAAGCTTAGAAACATTTAAGAGAAAAACCTCAAATTAATGCTTTCAATAAGGCTGAAGTTTCTTGCATAAAGGCAGTCTAGAGGTAGGAAGTGCAAGGCAGGTATGGCTGTTCCATAGTCAGTGGGGTCCCAGGCTTCTCCAGTTTATAGCTCCTCCACCACTAAGGGGTGAGTCTTAAGCTCAGGTCCATGGTGGTTCTGGAGCTCCAACCATAGCGTTTCAAACAGTGTGTGAAGGAGGTAGCACAAAAGGCGTTGCCTCTCCTTCCCTCTAAGAGACCTTCCCAGGCTCTCTTCATAGCACCTCCACTTAAATGCCACACCAACTACTGGCAAGGCTGGGAGAACTGCTGCCGTAGATAAATCCAGGGTCTGTTTCTAAGGAAGGAGAGAAGAATGGATGTAGGGGCAGGTAACTAACATTCTGTACTGTTCAAACTTTTGCTGTTATCTTAGAAAATTGCCTGGTTATTGGGGCACCTTTGTGTACTCTGAGTTCCTTTTGTTCTGATAGAGAGCACAAACAGGTTCCCTTAGAGCATTTTAGAGTTCAGAGCTGGGACCGGGTTGAGGCAAGAGAGGCTCCTCGGGCATGAAATTCATGAGATTTATTCTCAGGTCCATACCAGTCCTGTTAGAGCTGGAACAGCCCTTTAGTAAATCCAGAGTTTAACTATAAGTTTATAGGCAGGAAACTAGGACTCAGAAGTAGAGAAAACTGTCTGAGATCTCACAGCTGTTTAAGAGCAGGTGTTCTAGGCCTCCATTCCTCCTTACTTCTGATAGAAAGCAAGGAGGAGGAGGAGTGAAAGTCAGTAAAGAGCTCAACCACAAAAGAGAATGATATTTTGCCACTGGCAACAACTTGGATGGACCTATAGGGTATTATGCTTAGTGAAATAACTCAGAGAAAAAGACAACTACTGTAAGACACCACTCATATGTGGAATCTATAAAATAAACTAATGCATATAACAAAAAAAACAGACTCACAGACATAGAAACAAACTAATGGTTACCAGTGGGAAGGGGGAAACCGGGACTATTCAGGGGTAGGGGGTTAAGAAGTATAACTAGTATGTATAAAATAACTAAGCCACTGGGATACATTGTACAGCATGGAACACTGTAGAGCATAGCCAATATTTTATAATAACTGTAAATGGAGTAAGACCTTTAAAAATTGTGAATCTCTGTGATGTACACCTGAAACTTATATAATACTGTAAATCAACTATAATTTATAGAACCGAATATGCAACCCTTGTTTACATGCCAATGTTTAAGGAAAAATAAGAAACTAATTACCATTCCTTTTAGATATGCTTATAGAAAGTTACTAATCAAACAGCCTGGAAAGGAAACATAATTTGGCCCCCAAATTGTCGAGACTGTTTCTAAACTTTCTTGATTATCTGCCCCATTTTTTAGTGTATTCACCTAATTTGCATTTATAAATTATATACTTACTTTACTGTTCTGATATATTGTAGAACGTAACTAAAAACAGAAAAGTTAAAAAGAATAAGAAGCCTAACATTTTATATTTTTTGTCCATTTTGTGAGGGTTAATTTAATAAAAATCACATGATCTATAAACCATTTCACTGAGCACATTTAAGCTGTGTTGTCTTAATACAGTGGGAGTGGGCAAGTGGGGGAGCCACCAGCAAGCCCTCTGAGTGTAGACCTTCTGCTTGTCCCCCGCACCCCCCCCCCCCATTTCCCTTTGGTGATCTCTGAACCAAGGAAAGGAGCCAGTGACATTGTGCAATAAATATTAAAGCCTGTCTTACCTTTTAGAAAATGAAACAGTAGTTTTCCTGCACCCCAGTGTATGACATTGCATCTCTCTGGGAGTATTCACACCCCACTCCCTGCCTTAGAAAGCCACCATGTCTCACTGCTCAGAGTGGGTGGGGATGAAATCTCTCAAGTCTCCTTACAAATATGCATCCATTTATGAGAGCATGGATTCTAGCAGAAGTGACTGACTGTCAGGCATCTACTCTAATTAAAATGTATTTTTCACAGAGAAAAGCTTCAGATCCAAGTCGATTTACAAATCGTGGAGGAAATCTTCTAAAAGAGGAAAAGCAGAGAGCCAAGCTCCAAAAAACACTCCCTAAGGTAATATTGTTGCTGAAAGTGTTTGGTGTGTGGCTACAAAATGTCTTACTTTTTATATATCCCTTGCTTTGAATCATTTTGCCCCCAACTGTATTCTCTTCCAAAGGTTAGGCAAGGATAGTAAGTACAAGCTGGGTCTTCCTAGTATCAAATATTCCTTGATAACTGAATATCAAGTTTTATTATGTTTTTAGGACTGCGACAACAGAGTACCAGAGACTGTGTGGCTTAAACAACAGAAATTGATTTTCTCAGTCCTGGAGGCTAGAAGTCTGAAATCAAGGTGTCAGCAGGGCTGGTTTCTTCTGAGGCTTCTTTCCTGCCTCCACACAGTTATCTTCTCCCTGTATCTCCACCCACTCCTCCTACTGTATATGTCTGTGTTTAAATTTTCTTACAAAGCTACAGTCATGTTGGATTAGGACTCACCCTTATGACCTCATTTTAACTAATTACATCTATATTCAGATAAAGTCACATTCTGAGGTACTGGGGATTAGGACATTAGCATATGAATTTGGCAGGGGGCAGAATTGAGCCCATAACACAAGGTGACCTTTTGAGGAAATGCTTTGGACTTCATTACTATTCTCTATTTTAATAATAATAGTTAACATTTATTGAATTAAGTGCCAGCTACTATTTTAGAGTGCTTTCCATTTATGAATTCACTTAATCGTCACAACATCCTTAAGAGGTTGGCATTATTTCCATTCTTACAGATGAGCAAACTGAGGGACTGGGCACTTAAGTACGCTGCCCACCTCTTCAGAGCCAGTGAGGGGTGGATCCCAGGCTGCAGCCCAGCTCGTGCTGCTCCGTGAACACTGCCTGCTTATTGTTGCAGGTTCCCCCAGTGCTGCCTCCAGCTTCCCGCAGCAGAACTTTAGTGCTCAGGCTCTGGGTTCTCACCTTTTCCCACCTTCAAGTGTGTTATGAATGAACCATGCCCAGACTGATTTCTGGCCACTTTGGCCTGTTCCCATATGGGTGCAGCTACCTGAAGTCAGGTTAATGATACTCTGAGGGGGGGAGAGGCATTCTTTGGGAGAATCATTTCTTTCAGGTTTCACATCAAAGATTTGCCATGATTAATATGTCCTTGTTTGTGGTCTCAGTTGGAAGAGGAGTTGAAAGCAAGGATTGAAATGTGGGAACAGGAGCATTCAAAGGCATTTGTGGTGAATGGGCAGAAATTCATGGAGTACGTAACGGAACAGTGGGAGATGCACCGGCTGGAGAAGGAGAGGGCCAAGCAGGAACGAGTAAGTGAGCCCGACCTGGGAAGCGGGGAAGAGCAGTGAGCTTGCAGCCCAGAGTCTGCCAGGGCTCTAAGTTGGCTAAAGAAGTTGCAGCTCATGGCAGCTCTTTTTAGCTCTGGGTGTAGACACTTGCATTGTATTTCTGGCCCTTCCTCTGGCCCCATCCCAGAGCTGCTCTCCTTCTGGGATTTATCATTCTTGCCCCTGACTTTCACACAGCAACTGAAGAACAAGAAGCAGACAGAGACAGAGATGCTCTATGGCAGTACTCCGCGAACACCCAACAAGCGGCGAGGACTGGCACCCAGCACTCCGGGCAAAGTGCGCAAGGTGAGGCGGAGCTGCCCGAACTGCTGGACTTTGATGTGTGTCAGCTGTTGAGTCTCCGATTAAACTCGGGGGTGCCGGCAGCTGCCAACATTATGTAATGATGGAAACCTTCAGAGGTTCATTCTGTAATTCCAACAAGTGACCATGGCGCTGTGTGAAGGAAGACTTTTATGCTTGGCAAATAGAATAGCTAATACTCCTTAATCTCTAGAGCAGGAAATCGGGGAGTCCGTCCTTCCCTTCCATCCTTTTTTTTTTTAAACCTTTTCTTTGATAAAGAGTGCTGTTTTCCTTTTCGATCCTCAACTCATACTTTATTACATATAAAATGTTTTTAAAAAATCACCTATAATGTATAACTCCAGGAGCACCAATGAGAATATTTGGTGTTTTTCCTGCTTTTATAAAAAGCTTTTTAAAATAGTGTATTTTCATAAAATAGAGATCACATATATAATTTTGATTTCTGCTTTTTCAGAAAATTAAACTTTCTTTAAATATGCTCATTATTAGCTGGTATATTCTATTTTTTTGGCATTCTGTCATTTATTAAACTAGTTCCCTATTGTTTGATATTAGGTACTTCATTTTTTATTAGGAAAATAATGTGATGAAATTTTTAAAACATGTTATAAATTTTTACCCATCACACCCAGTTTCCTTTTGCCCTCTTATATTCTCTTTGCTTCCCTCACCCATCCCCTCCAGCTCCTGGCAACCACAGCTTTGTTCGCTTTGTCACTATTGATTAGTTTGCATTTTCTAACATTTTATAGAATAGAATCACACAGTGTGTATACTTCTGTGTCTGGCTTTTTTCATCTGTGTTATGTCAGTAGTTTACTCTTTTTACTTTGAACAGTATTCCACTGGATGTATATACCACGATTTGCTTATCTAGTTGCCTGTGTTGATTTATATTTAGCTTCTATCTGGCTACTACACATAAAGCTGCTGTAAATATTTATGTGTAAGTCTTTGTATGGATATATGCTTTCATTTCTCTTGGATAAATACCCGAGTGACATGGCTGCGTCTTAGGATAGTTGTCTGTTTAACTTTTTGGAACAAAATGGTTGTCCCATTTTACAATTCCACCTGCTGGATGGAACACTCAACACTTTTCTAGACTGCTTCCCGTCCTCACTCCTCTGTAGTGTAGGGATGGGTTACTCAGCACGTTGTCTCATGTCACTAATCTTGTTTCTTGTCCTAGCTGAACACTACCACCATGTCCAATGCTACGGCCAACAGCAGCATTCGGCCTGTCTTTTCCGGGACAGTCTACCGCTCCCCTGTGTCTCGACTTCCACCTTCTGGCGGCAAGGTCAGTATGCTCTGTGTACAAGCACATCTGCAACACCAGCCCGGCCTATGCACTCCAGGGTCTGTTGGGAGGCAGAGATACTGAATACTTCCCTCTGGACTGAGCAGGAGCTTTGAGACCGAAAAACAAAGCAGGTAGCTTCATAAAGTGCAATTATGAAGTTTACTGTGGGTAATTTACATACAGGCAGGATCCGGTGGGTGGACAGTGACCCAGAGGCATTTGCATCTGCACTCCAGCTCCGAGAGGGGTACAGAGGGATTTAAAGGGGCCAAAGCTAAAAATGTAGATACATCTGTAGGACACATCTAGGAGCAGCACGTCTGTACTGATGGGCATTGCGCAGTTTTCCTTCTCCCAGGGTCTTGAGACCACCAATCACCTGCCTCAGCAAAAGGCATTCTTCCAGTTTTCATATCAGGTGAAGGCAAGGGTCAGACTTGATAGGGGCTTTGTCTGGCTTGGGCACATTCCTTGTGCGAAGATTGAAGGTCAGCCATGCAGGACAGGGAGAGGGTGGGACTGCGGGCCTAAGGTGGAGCTGACAAAAAGGAGTCAGTGTGGTTCAGCCACACAAGGCCCCACCTGCTTTTCCAGTTTCTAAGATCCTTTCATCTGATTATCATTGAGATGCTGAGAGTTAACAGATGGAAACTAACTAGTCTCTCAAAGACTAAATGAGAAGAGAAGAGAATGGTCTTCCTGAGCCCTGACTGGTGGTGTGGGAAGCACTGGGGTGGCTGGGAAACTCAAGTCTCCATAGGCTTAGTTCAAAGCCTGGTCTTCAGTTTCTCCCTGCATGTGGGTTCCAGCCCAGTGACACTGGACGACTAGGTGCAGACAGGAACTCTCACCCCAGGACAGGGGTGAGGTGTGCTAAAACATGTTCACTCTTTCAAGTATTCTACAAACTATGCTCAAGATAAGGGTTCTGCAAATCATTAAGAATTTATATTTATTAAACCAGAAGTATAGGATTACAGACACATGAATAAAGACGGTGTCAGCCTTTGATAATTTGTGTATGAATGGTAATTATAAGGGTGATACATTGAAGGATCTTCCTTTAATCTGCAGCCAGTCATCACTTCCACCTGTTCGGGGAAAAAAACGCCCCGTGCCGTCAAGCATGGAGCCAACAAGGAGAACCTGGAGCTCAATGGCAGCATCCTCAGCGGTGGGTACCCTGACTCGGCCCCCCCACGGCGCAACTTCAGCATTAATTCTGTTGCCAGCACCTATTCTGAGTTTGCGGTAATTCACCTTTTCTAATATCTACCAGTCCCTGGGGAGCACACAGTTGGGGCAGAGGGGGCATCTCTCCAGGGGCACCCAGGCTGTTAGTTCGGACGGATCTTTGGAGGCTGAGAATCCCTTTCCTGACATGACCATGGCATGAGGTGGGGGTGGTGTAAGGGTGGTATACAGGAAGAAAGATGGCAGCAGCAA